GCCCCGCCCCGGCGAGCCCGGTCGCGAGTGCACCCCCCCGCGCGCGCGTTACGCGCGCGCGCCGCGCGCATGTAACGCGCGCGCCTTATTTCGCGCGTAACGCGCGCGCGCGTAACGCGTTATAACGCGCGCGCGTAACGCGCGCGCGCGCGTAACCCGCGCGCGTAACGCGCGCGCGCGCGTTACAGTTTTTGCACCTTAGAAAGATGAAAAATTATAGCTTAATAATAGATTGTCACAACTTTTTTTCAGGCTTATCCGTCCACAAGATTTCCATGTCGCCACGAGTCCAACGGTTCTGTTGACGAGGTGCGGGAGCACCTCTAACGCCAGCATTCGCACCACCCAGGTTTGATGCAACACCACCAGCACCACTTCTCAGATTGTTGATACCACCAGTCAGCCCAGAATTTGCACTAGAGGAGGATGAGGCACAACCTGGTCTTTGAGGCCCAAATCCTTGAGGATGAGATTCTGAATGGCCAAAGTCAGCAGCTGGAGGATGCTGTGCGTTGCCTCGATGCGAGGAACAAAATGGCATTTTTCCTCCTCCAGGTGTCATCTCGCTCAGATGTTGATGATGTGGAACTGGAACAGAACTTCTCATATTTATATCTATAATCTAAGTGTTCTGGAAAAAAAGAAGTCGACCTCGACGTCGTCCTTGAGGACTAATATATTGGACTGGATAGAAATGTGGACTAATATCCTGGCGTCGCATCTTCTCAGGACTAATACCCCTGTACATCACTTGGCGTGGTTTTGGGCTTGGGTAGGCCTGGTTTAGAGGTGTAGTAGACCTAGTTATTGAAGGCACATAGACGGGGACCGACGCATCATCATGGATTCATGTAAGGCATAGCGACCGACGTACGAAGTCGAAGGCGACGACGAAATCGAAAATCCAAAAAATACCGACAACACAATGATTAGCTTTTTCAGCCCGACATCGTATGTAGAGAGACCGTACAGGAGCTGGAAGGTTCCTCTTGGCAGATGATAAAATTATTGGACCGACTCAACACAGCCTGCGTTCTTCCAATAGCTCTTGTCCCTGCCTCCTTCCTCGAGGAAGCGAAAGATTCATAGGTTTCTACAATCTTCTTAATGACTTTTTTACTGGTTGTCGCGTTGTTGAGCTTGAAGTAACTTCAATGAAGTTCTTCTTGTGTCGCCGAGTCCTGTTAAGTAGTACAAGTTCGAGTTTAGTCTTGTGAGTACTTCCTCGACGTCGAGTAGTAGTTGATAGATTTGAGTTCTTGATGCTGGGTATAAGTATTAAAGCTAGATGAGGAAGTTGTGATCTAGATCTTGGTTCTTCCTTGAGAATTGGTATTGCGAATGGGTGGAGGTTCATCATCATCTAACTGAAAACAAAGTGTGACTACATCCTCCTACCTTCGTTCTTCTTCGTGGAAATCGAAATGGCACTATAAAAAAATTATGAAAACTGGAAAAAATGAATTGACTCATCTTCATCTTCAAGTAATCACTATATCCTGCTCCTGCCTTAAACATAAATACACACATAGTTGGTACTACTTAATAAAAATCATGACATCTTCCACCTGGTCCTGGGCCTGCCTTAATCTTAAGACAGTTTCCTTTCGATAGAAATCAACACAATCCTCAATCTCGTCAAGGCTCGTCAAGCGACACCGAGAGAGGACGATATGTTCCAGAGATCTCTAGAAGAGTAGAAAAACTGCACAGTTCCCCCATCGCGATTGATGTACGACACTTTCGCTCGTGTCTGTTGTAGAGAAGGAAGAAGCACTCCGCTGTGTCGAAGAAGAAGTCGGCGTTCCGTTCACCCGATTATTAGACGAGGACAGGAGAGCTTAAGATGATGTAAAAACAAGAAAGACTTAAACCGACCTTCGTCCATTACAACTGATAGAGGTAAGGCGCGGAGTGAATCAATGAACCTTGATCTTCTTCCAATGAACCGGTAGCAGTGTTCACTTAAGTTGAGGCGCGTACATAGGTGCTGACATTCTGAAAGGGTGAGTATTATTTTGCTAGGTACGTCCATGCGACATACTAGCCCAGCAGATGGCATCAAGTTCGGATGAACCACGAAATTCTTGAAATGAGTTGTGAAGAGAACAAGCCAGACACCAACGGGTGCGAGAGCAAGATGCTAACTGAGGGCTAGGTGCCACATGGATAAGAGGGTGTGGAGGGTGGGAAAAGAAGTTTGAATACGAATATGAATAGACATGAATAGGAAAGAATAGGACTTAATAGGAATAAGAGCAGAATAGGAATACTACACGCGCCGGCCGGCCGCGTGCACTGCGTTGTAGGATGCGCAGCCCCCCGAATACATGAGTAGTACGATGAGAAGACGAAAGTGGAAGAGGGAGATGAAGGCGCCAGCTGGAATAGTACACACCCCAACCTGCTATGCCGAACACCTACGCTATTCTTCCATATCAATAAAACGTCGTGTAGCAGATGGTGAGTCCCACATCAGCTTCAAGAACTAGTACTATCAACCTTATCATTGATGACAGCACTGACAATAGAAAAAGTGTGACCCTTAACTTTCTCGTTGCTCATCTTGCCTGAAGTCGCTGCAGAAGTTTTGTTCGTTCTTTTTGCGGAACAAGTCATATTATCTTCCAGAACCGTCTTTGCGTGGGACAGGGCGGCCATGAAGCGCTGATGTCCAGGGGTGAAACGCCCATCGAAACGATCGAGCATGCCGAGAACTCGCTTGGGGCCATGTGCGTTCTCCAACAAGGCAGGTTCAAATGGATATGGATTAGAGCATGAGGGAGTTTCTAGTAGAAGTTGTAGTATTGATTCATACTATCATAGAGTAGGACTAAGTAGAGAGAACACAAAACAGGGTGTCCAAGTCATCTTGATGAAATGTTCGCAGATGTCTTCGAGCAGGTAGGTGTGAATGAAAATCAGCTTACAAGACTGGGTAAGTACAAAGGTGTGAATTCTACCAGTTAACTACCGAAACATTCTATAGACTAAATAACTATAACGAACAATATGACCATAACTTCAATACAGAATTGAAAGCGACTCCCATCCTCAACACGTCGATCACGGAGTCCGTTGACGCAGATAATCTTGTTTTGGTATTCCAGGCTAAGTTAGACCTTACCGATATTCATCCTCAGGAGCATCTTGGTAGCCATTTTCCCTTACAAAAGCCTTCCAAGATGCTTCTTAAGATGAATAAGAGTAAGCCTTAACTAAGGTAATAGTTAAGGAATTCCAGAAACAAGCTGTCGACTGGCGTTGTATCTTCACCATCCTGGTAGTTCTTCTTGATGCTAGGTAGTTCTTGTTCGATTTGAATTAGAGAACCAAGTTGTAAAATGCGCAATTCATCTTTGAAAAATGCTGTACTCTTTGTAAAAAAATTATGCAAGTAGTGATGTGAAAGTATTCCTTTGTAATATTGCTCTTTCTTCAACATCAAGAACAGCAGCAACTATTATTGAAATATCCTACTTTCAGGTGGCGAAGATATTTTCTTTCTCAGAGATGAATTCATTATCCTTATCGACGACAACTACAACTGCCTTAAAAATTTCATCTGGAAGGAGCAATCGCTGGTCTCACTGTTGATGGAAAGTCTACCATTTTTTGCGAAGTGTTTCGGCGGAGGCTGACTAGGAGGCGCCATTGATGGTGGTCTAGAAAGTACGCTTATCTTCTCGGGAACATTGTCACTTGTTGTTGCTGGACAAGCCGTGGAACCGCACCCAGGAGGCCTACGCTTATTGTCGTTTTCATCGGCACTGACGATAGGAAATATCGGAGGCAGTGGTGGAGGCAAAGACGCGTTCTGCTTCATTTCATAGACATCCTCCAAAGACCCACTTTTCTGCTGTAAGGCGAGCTCTACCGTAGTTCTACTAGTTGCAGCGCAGGTCACCGCGTTGTTGTTGTTGGTCGTCGTTGGTAGTAGAGTCATTTTGGACGTCGATATCGAAGGCTTCGATGAGGTACTTTTGGGTTGTACGGATAAGGTGGTTTTGGGCAACGTACACACGACATCACGACCACCTACAACAGCTTGCATATAATCCTTGACCTTCTTCTCTTGTTGTTTTGGAGGGTCTCCTTCTTGATCTACCACTTTAACTTGTAGTTCTCCACCTCTGTGTGGTTCTCCTGCTTTTCCACCGCTGTTGTTTTCAATTTTGTTGTTTTCATCCACCACTTCTTCCGACATTGTCAACTTCTGTGAGGACTCCTGATCATGTTGGACCGTGGTTTGGAGTCTTTTTTCCCTCATGTGAATGAAATGCAAGACGAGCAGAGCGTAAGAATAACTGCTCAAAGTGCCTTCCCACGCGCTGCGGATGCCCATTTGCTTCGCGTATCTCTTCACTAGTACGGCCAGCATTCTATACCGTTCATCTGCTAGAAGGACAGAGCGGACTTAAGTTAGAAGAGGAGCAGTACCTAGTGAGCTTAAGCTAGAAGAGGACCCATAATACAGTGGTCGTGAGCAACAGCAACTTCTTGATGTCGGTTTCGGTAAGTTATAAGCTTAAGTGCTGCCGTAACAAAGCACTATTCTGCAGAACGAAGAATTCACCTTCTACCAGCACCGAGATGTCAAAACTCGAAATTCCGTGTTCCAGCATGCAAGGAAAAGTTAGAGCCTTCGCGTTCGCAACCTCGTTGACGAGTGCATGATCCTTGGAAGTCGATGCTCTATTTTCAAGACGAAAAAAAGAACAATCAATTTCAAGTGTGACACAAGTGAGGATGCTGCAACAACGAAGCTGCCTTAACAAAGTATTCCGAATCTGCTGTTGGACATGGCACTTCACTATCGGCACACGAGCTTCTAGAACCAGTTCCAAATCCATCGACTTCTTTTCCCCTGCACCGTCTATGGTCTGGATGAATTTGGTCAAATCCGACAGAACCTCTTTCTTCACCAATCTGGCTAATGCTGCATCGTGTTGGTCTGAATGCTCTCCGACTCTGGCTGCATGTTTCTTAACGCTAGACACGACGCACTATCTGTAGGATTGAATGGGTGTGGGTTGCTTGTTTCTTTCCCCTTGAGGAGCACCATTTCCCCTTTGACCACCATCTTCACAAGGGGAACGTCCTCGTCTTCGCCGAAAATACTTACATAGATAGCACCTCACAAACGTCTTCACCGAGAATACATAGTAAGCTTAAGCACCTCACACGAGGACGACAAACTAATATATAAACATCTAGCCTTAAATTTCGCGAAAATCTTTGGCGACAAAATGAGCCCGCAATCCACGTCCGATCCCCTTGTAGCGGTGCCATTCTCCACTGACCCAAAGATCTTTACGATGCAGCTCTTATCAAAGAAGAAGTCCAACACTGTGCGAAATGAAGATTAGAGTCCACTCTCATCGTCCATGATCTCGAAATGAATCATTTGAAATTTGAAAATCAAAACCACTGAAGTTATTATTTATTATTCATTCATTCATTTGCGAACCACGTGACAACTCTCGCTGCCTGATTCCGTTGCGACCCGAGTAGAGACCCGAGTATTAGGACTTGTAATTGAATTAAGGCGTAAAGAGCGCCTCTTTCTGACAGAAGGACAACAAGGACAAGAAGGACATCAACGAACGAGAGGGCAGGATGAGACAAGAAACGAAGTTTATAATTCTCATCATTTGAAAAAAAAAATTCTCTCCTTGAAACAAAACGTCTCCGAGTAAGATGCTTCTGAAGATGGATTGGGGGAAGCCTTAAAGAGATTCGACTTCGTTCTCGATGCGGCCAACCACATAAGGCGAGAGCACCCCAAAGCGCTCGTAGAGAAGGTAGATACAGTCTGCTCCGGAGAGTTCCTCTAATAAAGGGCCGCACATCTCCTCACGCCAGAACCTAAGAATTTGACAGTAGCAAGACAAAAATCATTCGAGAAGATCGACCACGACGAGTGCTAGCACGTCGTGACAAAACATCACTTATTTTAGTTTTATCTGTAGACGTCGGTAGTAGTGATTTAGTCAAACCTGAGAGCCGGTGCTCTGGCAAGGGCCCCAAGTCGCAATCTCGGATCATTGTTCGGCGCTCCAGTGAATGCCCTCAAGTTTTCCGAAGCATCGCGGAATATACTTGCTACCGGGTAGCTGAGTGCCCACGGGCCACCCTCTAGCGGTTCGAAATCTGGTGACTTTCCGAGATTCGTATCGAAGAACGACGCAATGACCACACCAAGCGGCGTTAGTGAAGGGTCAAAAATGTAGTTCGTTTCCCCGCTTCCTGGTGAAAAGTCCTCGCTCACGCTCAACCCAGTCCCGAGTAGCAAAACTGCTAAGAGGTAGACACGATAGGCGGACGGCAAGTCAGTATCAATGATCTCTGCTGTTTTGTCCCGAGATACACTTTCGTCTGCTTTCTTCTTAGAGGTCTCTTTGCTGTTGTCTACTAGTCGTGCACCAGGGTTGGTGTTGTTTTGATTGTCCTGTGATGAAGCCTTGCTCTTCGTCATGTTTGAAGCTGAACAAGATGAGCCCTTTGAAGTTGCTGTTTTCGCCGTCTTCTTATTCGCGGTAGAACTCGAAGATGATGAGGATCCTGCCACAACACCTCCAACGCTATGACTATTGTTGTCCTGCTTTAGTCTAGTCGTACTTTCTCCCGTCCCAGATGTACTTGACGAAGAAGTTTGATTATCTTCCTCCTTGCCTCCCCTTTCAGCATTCTCCCCAACACCATCTGCAGATGCAGTAGCTCCACCAACAAATGGGTTCGTACTACTTGTTTTGCACTCATCAAACAACAGGGAAAATCTGTCTCTTTCATCTGGTAAGACGTCAAGGCCTTCAGAATGGAAGTTTTTGGTCAGTAGATGCCACGCTTGTTCCTCGCCTGCGGCTTTAGGTGGTCCCCATGTCGTTTGCTTTTGAATCTCGTTCAAATTAGAGGATCTGAAAACGTTTTCTCGTACTTGAAATGAAAGAGGCTTCAGTGCTTCAGAGATTGAGATTCATTCGAAATGAAAGATTGAAGATAAGATCTACATCTAGATCATGGATGTCTATAAAGTTTACCTATGTTTGTTACGCATGAGCGACGCCTTAACTAAAACAACGGCTACCTTCTGCTTTTCGTTCATTCGTGCCGCTGCGTCCAGCCGCTTCACTTGTTCCACTAAGGACAACACTCGGTCTACGCTTCCCTTCGTCTTCTTGCCTCCAACGGGAGTCACCTGTGACTGGAGAATCTGCTCTCCGTGTGTGGCCACCACAAGACTACTCATACTGACACAACGCAGAGCTTCCTCGAGCGAGAAAGGTGCCAAAGGCTCGTCTGAGTTGGCTGCTCCTGATGCATTGTCGGCAAGATGTAGTAATGATCCGGAAGATGCTGCAGCCGAAGGAGGCTGGTGGAGGGCAACAGAACTAGGCAATGCTACTGGAGGTCCTGCACAGATAGCTCCATTTGTCGCAGCTGCCAAGAGCGACGCGACACGACATTAGAGCTCACGTACTTAGTTGTAGCGGTGACGCGTCATTTCTTTTAAGCTTAATAAGACTCATAATTTTCTAAAGCCTACCCTACTAAGGAAACCAGGAATCATGAATTTTTCACGTCTATCCTAATAAGGTGAGGACACAAGAGAATGGCAATCACAATAACAATATCAATGTGATCAAACCTTAAGAGGACGTGCTCCCTTTTCTTGCTTTCGCCGCTTTCTTCTCTTTCCTGGTCATCTTTGCAAATTGCTGGTGTTCACTCCCTGGACTCGGGGACGCCGCGCCAGACGCAGTAAGAAAACCACTTGCGTTCAGACTTGGCGGACCGTCATCGGGCGAACATATTGTTGATGACGAGTGGAGATAAGTGCTACTAGTTGATGAATTCGAGCCATGATTGTGTGCGCCTCCGTGTGCGTGTGGTCCTCCATTCACCGTCGGACTAGCTTGCACGAGAATTGGCCGTCCAAAAGCACCCGCTAAGTATCTCCTGCGCACATTTTTAACTCGCATTTCCTGTGTCGCAATTACCCACACTATGATTTCCAAGTAGATACCCGGCAAACCCCGTTTACTAGCGGTTTCTCGACATGGAGAATCGACGAATCGTTGGAATTGGTCTTTTAGGAGGCGTACGACTGCTCGATACTGTGGCTGCGCCTCCCAGAAGCCATAAAGTCCATCCTCAAGCACATCTAGACTACTTCCTGCTTTCCTGCTCTTCGCGATTAGACTTGGGAATGAACCGACACCATTGTACTGCGCCGTGTCGAGCTGGACACCAGTAGCAGCCGGTGCTGGCTGTTGTACTTGTTGTATCAAAGAAAAAGATGTTGACGCGCGGCTAATATGCGAAAGAGACGACGATGAGTCATGATCCGATGTTGCTACACAAGAAGAAGAGAGCCCCAGGAGTCTAACACCTCCGAGACTTGCTCCTCCAGAGGCTCCGCCCCCAGAGGGTGACGAAGAGGAAGTCGTACTAGCGCGCAGCAATGATGGCCCAGAGTTAGAAGGCCCGCTGCCGGTGCCTGTGCCTCCTCCTCCTTCTGCTCCAGCGACTCCAAGAGATAAAGACTTCCTATTAGAACTTGCAGGAAGAATCCATCTTCAGCAGCATCTCTCGTCCCCTTTTCCCTTGAAAAACGGGACCAAAATGCCCGTGAAGATGCATTTCCTCAAGCCTTAATCCTAGTTGAGATCAATGCGCCGCCTCCCGAAGAGAAGTGGTTGTCAGCGCCATTTATCTTCCCATGTAGAAACCAGATATCGTACACAAGGCTCTTCACCCTGGAACACGACCCAGCATGGGCATGCCCTCTTTTTGCTTTTGGATAAACAACGCGTAAACAGGCGTTCCCCTTCCACCACATCTCCACGACCGAAGATATAGTCTTGTTTCGATACAATACCTGCAAGATATAATTTCATTTCTTTGACTCCGTCCGAGAAAAAAACAAAAACTTTTTAATGTTCTAGGTATTAGAGGACAGACGCACAACTCGAAAAAAACAGATTTTCATGTTCATCTAGGTACTAGAGGACCGACGCATATCAAAATAAATTATAGCACACTCGCTATACCTGTGGCACCATCCGTTTTATTTTGTCCAGGACATCGCCGCCCGTGATGTTTTTCGCTGTGATTTCGTAATACAGCCTAAAATCGACGTCGGAACCGGGAGTGTCTGTTCCTCGAACGACTGAGCCCACTTTGTCCATCCTGAAGACATTCAGGAAGCGTATTCCACTATCGCGCGGACTTAGGCCTTGCGCTGCAGCTAGTTTCGCTTCCCGCTTGCTCATCTTCAAGTCAAATTGTTTCTCTTTCCATTGCAAGGTCTGTAAGATAACTTGAGCGAGAACGTCATCGAATAGAAGCCGCGATTTAGAAAGTGTAAACTGAAGCTCATCAAAAAAGTCTAAGGACTACTAGAATGAAGCCCCTCCATCGGAATTTTTGTAAAAACAAAAGCAAACTTTCTCTGCTCAATAATGCTTAACTACACATGAAGATCACTGTACTAGTTTAGTTACTAGCACAAGCAAAACTTTCACCAGTACAACAGGTCCATAACTGTTCTTCTCGGCACTGACTGGTCCACCAAGAGTTTAAACCGGTCATCCGACACCCGTCCATCTACGGCAAAAGCGCGCAGGAGACCCCCTTCCTCGTCATTCTTCAGAAAACTGGTTGCTATCCGTTCAGCGTCTTCCGCATTGCGATGTCTCGAAGAAGAGCTAAGAGAAGGCCCAAAATTAGCACCCGGCGGCCCCGGTCCTCCAACATGCTGAAGAGGTGGTGCCGGAACAACCAGCGGCTTTTGTAGAGAATCGAGGGATGGCCCTTGCGGAGGTTCAAACAAGGTCGATGCGCCTCCAGGTGGGACAAACGGAGCAGCAGACGCAGAAAGCTTGGATAATGTTGAGCTACTAGTACAAGGTCCATAATTGTTGACAACGTTCCAAGCAGTTGTCAGAGTTTGTGACTCCTTCTCCCTCTCCTCTTTTTGGACGTCTCGTTGATGTTCCGTTTCCAGCATGACGAAACTATTTCCGACACCTCGTAAATGTCTTGCTTCCGCTTCAGCTATGTTTTTTCCACGGATTGCGAGACCCTCCTCAGCGCAAGCGTGCAAATTGCGAGGCGGCATTGTCGCTAGAAAGTTTCCAAACTGCAATTTCTCCTGCAGCCAAGAAAGCAATTTGCCATCTTGCCTCACATCCCCCACACTCAACGCTGCCTGTCGTGGTTCACAAAATGCTGGTCGTTTTATTTTTGAAACCTTAATATTGTTATGATTCACACCGTTAAGCAGGCTGTAGTCTTGCAACCGTAAGTGTTCGAACTGGCTTTTCCTACTGTTTTTGCTTGGGTGCAGTTCCGTTGAAGATCCACCTGCAGAAGACATTAATTCGCCTGTTGAAGACCTGTTTCCACTCCCACTTCCACTTCGATTATTTGTAGCACTAGTGTGGCCTAGAGATGACCCGGACGATGTCAGACTCGACGACGCTCCACCTCCACTAGCGGACGTTTGTTGCGTTCCTAGCACGGCAGATGCTGATGACGAGGCAGCACCCAAGCCAGAGCCAGCTGCAGTGCTCGCCGCTTCCGAAACTTCGGACAATTGGTCCCAACAACTCAATCTTAGCGACAGATAATGTATGTATCCTTGTTGTAGATAGTGGCTCACCTGCAGTCTTAGTCCTGGGACCTTTTTCCAAACTATCGTCCTCGGAGTGAGGTTGCAACTACAAGGGAATCAGTATCGGAGTTCTACTCAATATCAAAACTAAGAAGTACGTATCTGAAAATTATCATGTTCATGTTCCTTAACATTAACTGCTCGCCGCGGCTGAATGGCCTAGCAGGTGGCCGGTGGTACTGCTCGCTCAGCGAAGGAAAATTTTCCACATCGAATTGCTTGGCGCTTTAGAGCGTGTAAAGGACTACAAAGAATAACATAAGATGACTAAAATTAGTACTCTTCACTATCACTCTTCACTATCTTCACTAATGTTTATGATTTTGAACCGAAGAAGACCACCAAGTCGGGTTACATCTTTTTTTTCAACATTAAATAAAAAGTATTTCATAACCAAAGTCCAATTTCTGCTTCGAAATGCTTCCCGCCCCACGACCCCCATCGTCTCCAGCGCGTCTCTTTTGGTTAGGACTTGCTTTGTTGAGTGGAGGCGAACCGACAGCGCCATGAACAAGATGACTTTTGCTCTTTGCTTCGCCTGGCACTGCGAGTTGACTCCACGCCTGAGGATTGCAGATTTCATACGATGTAATGAGGCTATTGCTTGCACGTGAGGACTTCCACCCATGCAAGCATTCTGTAAAGAGGAACCTGCGTAACATGACAGCTTCACTCAAATCTATTATGTGGACTAGAGTGTAGGCAACATGACACTTTCTCCATAGTAGCAGAAGCACATGGCGCAAGCGTGGTCGAAAGCGACCGCGGGAGGTAGATATAAATGGAAAAGCCACTGTAGAAAGAGTCGTAGATGATAAAGTCCATCATGAAATTTTTCCCTACGATTAAGACGAAGTAGACATCAGTAAGTACATCAAGTCCATCGTTTGCGGAGTCATGTTCTGCCTCATGCTCATGTTCTTGACTGCCTTCCGAATGCACGGATTGCGTGGGACTTTGTAGCAGTGTATTCCAGGCGTCGAGGGTCATTTTGTTCGTGCTGGTGATGCTGACGGGTTGTTCGTAGAAGTGATAGAAGGGGTAGAGCTAACGGACGAAAATAAGGAGGCTGAGCATGATTCTTTTGGATGCTATGTAGTTGAGACCGCTGTGTCCCGTCAGTCGTTGTCTTTCGTGCAGCTACTACCCCTTTCCCGCAAGTTGCCGAGGCCGAAACGCTGAATACGACTTTCAAAGCGTCAACGAAGACATTTTTTAAGGCGTCATTTTTTTCTATTGTTCTTAGAAAAATCAGAGACGAGTCATCACTTTCTTGAATTCATCTCAACAGCCAAGTATATCACGAAAATGATGATCAAAATCATAACCGAGTAAGGAGCTCTAGTTGGATCACTACAACACACCAACTACAAATGAGAAGAGATGCTGTGACTACACAATTGCAGACCCTGTAGTGTTTTTGATATGTACTTTGACGCAACAAGAGGCGGCGCACCGCAGCGCGAAGCCTGTCCATCTTGTTATCGTAAGACATCTTCACCGATTACCGTCCTTCAATAACAGATGAATATGGAGGTGGACTTCTTCGACATTTCGTAAAAATTCAGATAATCGTAACGCTGCTGTTCACACACAATCGCAACATGCCGAGATGCGTTTTGAAGGACACGGCAGCAGCACAGTAAAGCTGATTCAGATCCTCCCTCACCCAGTTCTTGATTTCCTAAACAGTCCTGAATTTCTTAAGCAGCGATGCCAATCTTCTCAAATCGATACCTGTGTACAACATCTATAACCAATCGCTGTAGTACTGATGTCTGCTTACAGAATGCTGCTGCTGAATCTCGTGTTTCCTGTACATGCGACTGACTACTCCCAGTCATGCTCAGCGACACCTACTTACATCTACTAGGCTGTATTCCCACTACTTTCCCATCACCATCTTATAGTAATCCGGTCCAAGATCTCTGTAGTCAATGAAAAGTTCTTCTCCGGCCAAAATTTTCCTCCGTGTTTTGTATGTACAAAACGCGCCAGCTTCCACCGCTTCTTCAAACTCGAGGTTTGCTTCATCTGAATGATTCAAATACCAACCAACACTAAGCGTGTTCAAACCAGTAGCGTTTATGCCGTATTCGAGTTCTTGAGGTCCGTCGGACGGCGGACACTTGCTGGAACCTGTTGATTGATTGATTGATTGATTGACTGACTGACGTGCCTGGCATGAGGTCGATGTTGAAGAGTTTAATGTTTCTTCTTTTTTCTTTCGCTCCCCATTTGCATTTTTTCCCATGCCTCCGCATTGATTGATTGACTGTTTGACTGATTATTTACCTATAATTCTGGAGGTATAGGGGCTACTCTTTTTTTGGGTGGCCAGAGAGAGGTTCACTACAAAGCAGAACTTCTGCAAGCATTTAACAACTAGTAGAACATTCCCACGACGCCGTTCCCACGTGCAGTCATAATCAACTAAGTATACGCCGATAGTTTTGTATTTGGCGACGAATGTAAGTGCATACCATCCTTCCCCCCGTCCACTTCGTCATCCGTCAACGGCGCGAAAAACCCCTTCACCAGATCCTTCACAACATCTGCCACGCCGTCCAGTTCCGACTCTCGCACCGTGACTGACCGTTCGTCGCCACGAGGGCCAAGGATGTCGGCGTTACAGACGTGAAACGGGTCAACGCCTTCAGGTATATCTCGTATAGCGATGACACCGCAACCTTCGATACTGCTACTACCGATTTTTCGCGATTAGAAGGAAAAGGCTTATAATTCTGGGTGGAGTGATATATTTGACTTGAACAAGGTTCTATCCATAAACATAGCAGCTTTCCCGTAAGTGTTCTAACAGCTCGATTTTCAACACTGCATCGGATGTTTCGTTCTTTCGTATCCTCTCAATAGTAGTTTTAGCTTCTTCGAGTTGCGCAACTGTTTTTAACTGCAGCACCGAGTTCATCAACTCCAGCATCAGAGCTTGCTTCTTCGTTGGAGTTGGTGGAAGGTTTGCGTCACCTAATGTTTGGTCCGGTGCCGTGGCTGCCTTGTGCTGCAGCGCGGCAGCATCTTCTTGGTTAGCAGTCCTGTCACCAGACTGGATCGCTTCGGCGGCGCTTGCCGAGAGACCGGTTTCCTTGAGAACTCCCATGGGATTTTGTTGTAGGATATCTTCAGCTAATTACACAAAAAAAGCACGGCACTGCTGAGAAAACAAGATCTGTCTCCGTTTCCACGTGCAGTACTTTTTACAAGCGAGCACGGGTGTTCCACATACGCCACTTCCGATTGGATAACTAGGATACGCCTCTTGAATTTTCCGTCTCTCACGGCTGTTCTTGCGGCAGCTCCCATCTCAGTGATCGGGAACATTTGGAACAAACCCGCGATGCATGACAAGCACATCGGCAGTGAGAAGACCAAGACGCTATAGATACGCGCTTCATTTTACACTTTTCGAGAATTCATTTGAAAAACTTTGTACGGATAACATCGTCGTCAACAAGCACTGACTTGGGAGTAGTGTTTGCTTGGGGGTATAATTCATAGTAGGTGTAGGTTATGTTCGAAAAGTCTCAATTTTGCGGTGTCACCTGCGCTGATAGAAGTTCATACTCATATGTACTTCGTACGAGACCAGCGAAAGGACACATTTTTTAGAGTACATAGTCGTTTCCCTCATGATGAAATTCTAACGAACTTCATGCTCATGAAGAATTACAATTTACTGTATATCCGAACAATCGTGAAATGAACGACCGATTGTTCATCGATCTCCAACGTTCATTTTCAGTAAGTCTAATTGATAGCTAGTGATAATATCAGTATTTTCAGTCACAACGTGAACGTTAGTATGTAGATCCTCTTAGTGCTTCTATGTTACAACATCCTCAAGTTACGTTGCGAACAATCATAGACTGAAAATTCACAACTGACTTAACGCCGAATTCCATCCATTTATAATTGAGTCGAGCATTCAGGTCGTGACAATCGATCTTAATCTTCAATTTCATGTAATAGAAGTTGGAGAGAGTATTTGCTTGATAGATGATGAGTATCTCGGATATTAAACAAGTGTTATGATCGTGCTAACATAAGGATCATATGCAGTTGTTGCATAGAAGGAACAACAACTTAGATTTAAAACAAAGGGGTCAATTCTTCATCTAGCTTCTCAATCATTTTCACATCGTAGATATTTTTCTGCGTCGTGACTGCCTGGTGTCAACGAGACAGAGTGTTAATCCCTCCACGTAAGACCGCGTAAGAAAACACGTCGTCACCCGCCAAACGAAACGCAGACGATCCACATCTTAGAAAAATGACTACGAAGGACCGACCCGGGGGTCGTTTACTCTTTCTAGTACATTAGGTCCACTTAAGATGAAGTTATGAATGTGGAGTGACTATGAAAAGTACGCTTACATGGACAACATCGGATTACTCCGCTCCCATCTATCACATAGTAATGGAAGAACAACATGATAACACTAGATTTTCAGTGAGAACCGCCGGAGTTCGAGTTCTGCACTCCAAGTACAACAGTATCGACCGACATCCGAGAACGCCGGGTCATCATCTATTTTGAAATCAATCATTAGCTATCAATATTGGTGTTCAAGATGTTGAACAACTACTTGCGCTATTCTTCCGTAAAACTAAAAACCGTTTACGGGAAGTCATCATCACCGAAAACCATCTCGTCTTCGCTTTCATCGACGTTCTCCGGCAACAGGTTCTTGTCCCGCAAGAAAGCGTTGGCATGCTGGATAACTGTTTTGTTGATCATAGGTATGTGTTTCTGTACTATAGGTCGGTCACCTTCTAGGTACTTATACGATAAAATCTTTTGGTAGGTTTCTTTATTCAGAATTGCTTCTCGAACGGGTATGATCGAGAAAGCACTCGTGCAGAACACACAGTATTGTTTTGAAAGGCCTTGATAAGAATAAGCTTACCTCCACAGTGCGGACACAGGAAAGCGTGCTGGAGTAAAGTAGAAATGAATTACTAACTGACAGGCGCTATTCCACGATGCCGCAAGCAGATAACGACGATACTATCAACACATAGTGGTACCGTAATCACGCATCTTGAGGCAGAAGACACCCTTTTCGCCGTCGTTCTTAACGCAAACCATGGCATAGTTTGTTGATGAATCTTCACGGATGGCGACGCCCTTGGCTCCGCACATCTTCAGGACATATTCCAACCTGGTAGTGTGTTATAGAAGGGAAAGTTTGGTTGAAGCTGAACGGTGAAGGAAGCCACACAAACCTGGTAAGTAGCTCGAAATTTCGATCCATATCACAGGGAACGATAGATGTTTCTCTTCTTCTATTCATGTGCCTCAGAGTTTGACGCAAAACCCACAGAGGCGACTGACCCCCACTTCTAGAGAGTCAACTACCAGGGTCCGCGCTCATGTTCAACACTTATAAATATTAGTTTCCTACGTCCTATGCAGATAGGTACTTTTCCAAACGCCACAACCTATCATTAGCGCTAAAAAGTGAAACGAGAGGCAAAGGTAAGCATTGCAGCTACGGTCCGAAACACAATAATCATAAAAACTGAAAAGTATGCATTACCATTCCTTCGCATTGCAGGCCTTGGATTCGTCTTCCGGAACGTAAGCCACAATGCACAGATTATCGTCATCGGCCATAGACATCACGACCTTGCCGATGTGACCGGCGCCACCCTTTCGCTCCTCCTCGCTCGGGTCCGACTTGGCGTTCATCGCTTTGACGCTTTCGACCTGTCGCAAAATGTCAGAGAGAGAGTTCAAGGTAGTGAATTTGTTTCGGATTAGAGGTCTTGTGCGTGGTTGGGGAGACGAGTGCTGAAGCGAAAAAGCGCGAGTTGATTGGAAGCGACAAAGGCGTGGTTCCTCCCCCCCTTACCCAAAAAACCGAGCACTGCAGAAATCCCTTACATACACTTATGCACTCAATTGGAACAAAATATTTTCAAAAAAAATGTACCAGCATGTCCAAGTCACCTGCCGGCTCGAGCATCTTCGTGCAGAAGTACTTGAGACCGCCCATATCGGCTGCTCCCTCTATCTCCACACCACGCTTACCTAGGGAAATTTTTGTCAGGAGGTGCAAGAAGCTGTAGTTCTTAAGAATGTGAGAGGTGACATGGTAAAACGATTCGCACTAGACCCTAAACCGTCAAGACAATTACACACGCACCACAACCACTTTTGAGATAAAAATTCGTCTATGCATGAGTCTCGCTACAAATCCGAACCAAAGTCCCAAAAGTACCTCCTTCCTTGATGACCTTCTTCATTTTTTTTTCGAGTTTGTCGGTTGTGAGCCGTTCTGGGCACGGGGGAATGACCATGCTGCTGACCTTTACTGGCGCAACATATTTCGGGTTACGCTTCACCGTAATCTGCACTTGTGCTCGCTTTCCGCTATTCAGCTGAGCATAGTGCGTCTCAATCTTCACAACGCTGCCAACGTCGTTCTTCTCAGGGGAATGAAAGAGGGAAGATTTGACGTACAAGAATATCGAAGCATACCCAGAAAAAGTTCTAGGCTCAAACCTCTACCAAACTGTACGGTACTATGAGAATGACTACTCGATCAATCTAGTACTAACAAACTCAAAAGTTTTCATAAAGAAGTCCAACTGTGGCAACGGCGGACGGGATAGCAGTTCCAAGCGCAGAGATGGTCATCTGGTCAAATATCTTCTTCTCGATGCCATCCTTTCCGGTGACGCCTGATGGAGTTTTTTGTTTGGGAGATTGATTAATGCAGTGTCTTCAATACGTATCAACTACCTATGCGAAATTAAAAATGTTGTAGTCGTGAAACTGAAAATAGAATGCAATATCCATGAAGGCGGACGAGAGGACAAAGAACCCTGTCCTCAATTTTGTAGTTTGGAGCCGTGAACGAATGTCAAAACCCCAACCGAAACCCCCCAGCCTCTAAAGGGTTAGACAATGACTACCTTGAAGAAAGTTGGTTGCGGACTTGACCCAGAAAGGGACCGCACGTGTTGTCGAGATACGCAGGACATCCTCAGGCTTGTCGCTGGCCGTCTTCTTCGACGTCTGCTTTGGGCTGCCAACTTCAGACATTCTTTGGTTTTTTGTTGTGGTGTAGTACTGTTGTAGCTATGTCTTCCTAGCAGTGGTACTGAACAAGTACGTGTAGTAGCTACTTTCCTATTAGTTGTCCTTGTATGTCTCGATTTAGTGATTTAGATGAGTACACGAACCTGAACTAAAAATTTCTGGGCTCGCCTTCTAAATCTTTACCTGCTCCTTTTGTGAATTTATTGGCACAGACCTCCTGTTATGCTCTTCTTCCCTGGTTGAGGACGGTCGTGAGTGAGAAAAATAAGAATCTTGCCTAGAGTACGACAGTCGCAATTTAGATCTAGCGCCAGTGCGAACCACCTGGACGGGCAGGAATAGAGTGGAAGTGGAAGTGCAAAATCGGACCACCATCCGCCTGACAACAGGAGGGCACCATCCGCCTGACAACAGGCGACGTGAAAATTCTCTGGAAAAGCAAAACCTATGTTCCGCTTGCACATCGTGTGATCCTAATCTTTGACCGGATCCGACATCTACCACAGGAAAACATTAAGAGAGAGAAACGGCCAGTGTCAGACACAGCGAGCAGTGAAGCGACCACATGGAGGAAGACATGAGGTCGTGGATCCGTTGCCCCCCCCCGCAGCATCGTTGGGCTAGGATACAGCACTATCTGTCAGAGATATTAGAACACACTCACCATTATTCTGCTTTCTTGAGAGCAAGCACGTTTTTGTGGGTACTTCGCCTCTTTATCTTTAGATTCACTGTTTCAAACCTGTACACGTTCTGGGCCTGTCTGAAGAAGAGACGAGACCCGCATGATTGAAAAGATCCGCTGTTTTGTCTGCACAGAATACCCGTCGGTTGATGCCACATCGAGCTGAAAAAAATTCCGCATTTAGATACACGAAGACTAGAAGATGTAACTATAATCAGGTTTGGTGTTGAAGGGACACACGCATCATCTGTTACTGCCTGGCATTCCTCACTTCTCATAATTGGGGTTTAGCAGGCATCGTTTAGGGTAGCTACTCGTGTAGGGTACAGCATGATGGTGCTTCACTATAGTACAATGACCCTCGAGTCAAAGTCGGTGTGCTTCTGCTTATGCTTTAATCAGCAGAGGTAATCAAATAGCTTGTCGACGGTCCTTGCATTACAACTAGGTGGATTTGATAGCGCACTGCGCTTTTTGACCTACGAAGAAAACTTCTTTGGGCTCGCCCTCGTCCATCCGGACTACGCATACATACTTTATAAAAACTCAGAGAAACTCCTCGTGGTGTATCTAAGTGATATCTTGTTGTATGATGTTTTTCGAGATTTTATTTCCGTTTGTTTCTACCTAAAAATAATTCGGACGAACATTTGCTCTAAGCAAACATTGAAGATCAGACTACTTATTATGAACATATGGAAGCCCATGGTGCGCGTGACAATTCTTTTCCAACCGTTTTGAATCTCTATGTAACAACATGTCTTTTGTAAAGATGAAATAGTTCCAACATGTCTCACGTTCGTAATCCATTCATCTAAATCTTTTGATTGTTATGTTGAAACTACATTTTCGATACTTTTTGGTCGAATTCTGCCAACGTGCTTTTGATAATTTCGAGGGCCTGGTGCAGTTCTTCGAGGGTAATGCAAAGCGGAGGGGCGAAGCGGATGATATTCTCGTGAGTCGGCTTGGCGAGGAGACCTGGATGAATGATAAATAGCATTTGAGGCCTTCCATTTGAGGGCCTGTCCATTCTATACATGGAGATTTGTCACGGCGCGCACCATGAGCAATCCCTTTGGCATTTGAGTCTTTCTTTTCGGAAGTGATTGACTCGGGACTAGCCGAACTAGCAAAAATCTATCAGTTTTACAACAAGGGCCTCAATTTCTATTTTGTTCGGAAAAGGTGCTATAGATCTTAGACGGATATCATGTGGAGCGCAATTCTGTCTGAGTTTTTCATTCGAGTACGCTCAGCGCGCTAATGCTTCCGGTATCCTGTCTAATCTGCCTGCATAGCTTGAGCCAATCTAACACCGGTATAACAACCATAAAATCAAGCACCTTTCTCTGCCATTCCCATGCACACTTGCCATGCCGTGACCTTCTCTGCAAACGCCGGGTCGACTTCAAGCGCATTCAGCAGGCCCTTGCCGCGAACATCCTTGATCCATGGACATTAGAGTTCGGAGGAAAGAACGCACATCGAGGCTATTTCACCTATACTATACCGCGTAATACTATACTGTAATCGTAATGCTGATGACCAGGAGTGAGTGGAACCTTGTGTCATCCTTGGAAAAATCAACGTGTCATGATCTACATAATTTGCATAAGAAGCACACTGAATGATGAGAGAAATAAAAAAACAGTTTTTCTTTGAGGATCTCTATCCTCTGTATTCTGCTTTCACATGCAAGCTGTAGGGTTCCATATTACACCACAAAATACTCATGATTGAAGTAAATCATCTGTCACAGCCAATTCATAATTGTATTCAAAGGCTTTCAACTCCTTTCGGAAGACTTCGCCCATCGCCTGTGCGTGGTCAGCCATCTTCTCGTCGCGCAAAACCTCCAAAGCTGCTTTTGCTACGGCACAGCCAAGCGGATTGCCGCCGATGGCTTAGAGGTTGAAAAAACAACACCTAGTCGTTATTTTTTCTGTAGAATCTTCAGTGTGTAAAGAAGGTATCATCATGCGATCAGATAATACAAGTTCTTTCTGTAGTACGGAAGACCCCGAAGCACCTAATTGCATGTGGGTGCTTCAACTTTAAGAACTAACAACAAAGACCACAAAATTTCAGCCATACTATGTACTCCCATGTTGTCCAGGCTTGATATTGAGCATGATATCGTCATCGCAGAGAACTGCGGACACTGGATACATGCCACCGGAGAGCGCTTTTCCGAGGACTACAATGTCGGGGCGAATACCTAGTGTTTCGTGATGATGATGATGATGATGATGATGAGATACTTACCCAACACGGTTGGTTCTAGTAAAATGTCGGACTGATTCAGTGGCTGTAAAAAGTCACACCGGGACCTTTTCTTCGAGCAGCTCGTACAATCAGTCCACTGAGAATAGGGAAGTACCATAATGCTCACTGCACAGCATCTTTCCCGTTCTGCAGAGTCCCGTCTGAATCTCGTCACAGCACAACAAGGCATTATGCTCTTTACATAGTGCAGCTACCTTCGGAAAGAAGTCTTCATCTGGACATATGATTCCTGCCTCTCCTTGTATTGGTTCATAGCAGACGCCTACGATGTTCGGATCTGAGGCAAACGCCTTTTCTAATGCCGGAATGTCGTTGTAGGGGATGAGATGAAAGCCCGGAGCGTATGGGCCGAATCTAAGGTTGGATGGGAAGAAAGAGGAGAGGTGAATGCATTGACTTTTGCGATAATGAGGTGGACCGTGGAAGACCAAAGGGCGCAATATCTTCTCAAACGAACAAAATCTTTCTGAGTGGTGTGCGCTCGTCGTGCGAACTACATCAACATGCACTACTGCGAAAAGTACTTTGCAGTCATTAAAGTAATTGTTACCCTTTGTAGCAATCCGGATCTGTACTTGTTGAAACTGCGCACACCGACCGTCCCCAGAAATTGTTGTGGGCAAAAACTATCGTTGCCATATTTTCTTCAACTCCTCTCTTGTCATAACCCCACTTTCTCATTAGCTTCACAGCTGTTTCTGTGCCTTCTACACCGGTGTTCATGGGAAGGACTTTGTCATACCCGAAAAAATCGGTGATAAATTTCGTGTAGCCGGCGTAGACCTGAGATGAGAAGCGATGATGCTGATTTGATGCCCACGAATTCAGTCGCGTTCCAAGTAATTTCGAACAGCCGTATCGGTGAGGAGAGTGCACCAGAACCAAACAAATGCACATCAAGCACAAATTAAAATTCTATAGATACGTTGTTATGAAACGCCCTCGACGTCAAGGTGAGCTTCTGGCATTGCTGTGTCATAGCTTTGACAATATGTGGATGGCAATGACCCTGGTTCACAGCTGAATATGCCGCGAGGAAGTCAAAGTATTTTTTCCCGTCTGTATCCCACATGTAACAGCGCTCGCCTGGTCAGTTGGGGGTAGTTTTCTTTGATCGATGGACCATGTTGATGTTCTTTCGTGAGATTAACATTTTAGTCCTAAGCACTTGCTTGAGGCCATAATATCGATACCTCTCTCCAAAACCACCGGCAACGGATGGTAGTTGTGTGCTCCATATTTTTCTTCTGTGTCGATGAAGGCTTGCTGTGTGGTTTTTTTAAGCGCCGCGTCGGCGTCCTCGTGCGGAACCGCACTTGCTACTGGTTGTGGCATCTTGTCGCCGTCAAGGTTGTTCCAATGGTGGGGTAATATACTTCGATTTGTAATGAAGCTCTTGCTATTTTTGTCTATTTTTCAATTTAGGATATAAAGTCGTTTTCAACTTTTTGAATTTATGACCTCCTGGAGTAAGTAACTTGTACTGGTGTTCTTGTCCGTTAGTCCCTCTGTTAACACTGCAGTGATGAACAGAAGTGTCCAGGACAACACACCTTAAAAATTTCGAGATATTTGAATCAATCGCCCTATGAAATTGGAGTGTGGCAAAATTCTGATGAAGGTGTCTCGGTCCTTGTGACCTTTTCACGAGATAAATTTTGGTGTTTTAACGCAAAATTGACAATGACTGTGAACAAGTGTCGATAGATGCATCTACGCGGGAAAGAGTGAAGGAGGGTACCATTTACAAAAGCCTGCTTTCCAAATCCAAATGAACTAAAATTCGATATTCACCTCTTCATCTCGCTCATGGCAGGCTCCCCAATCTCTCATCCCGTTATCACTCAGTATATTAATCTCACCGGTCATCCTCGTGGTACTGGTGGCAGAACATCGACAGCAACAAAAACCTACACAAGCGAAAGGCTACAGGTACAGCTTCCTACTTTCATCATAATTTGTTACTCTTACTTCTCAAAATTGACTTTCCCTTTCTGTCCTGGTCCTCAAGGCCATCTACAACTACGAGGAAAGCTAAATGATTTCAACCGTAACTACAATACGAGTAGGTTCATTACCGTAACTACAATACGAGTAGGTTCATTTTTGTAAGGTGGAAGTATAAAAAGTTTTCCGAAGAACGGGTTCATTTTCTTGGGATGCGAACAGGCGCTCCCGGGTTCATTTTCTTGGGATGCGAACAGGCGCTCCCGGGTTCATTTTCTTGGGATGCGAACAGGCGCTCCCGGAACATGTAATTTTTGTTTACTGGAATAGACATTTAAAAGCTTTTTTTCTAGGTTTGCGCTTGACTTTGACTTGAGGTTTTTCTTTTTTGCTCAGACGACTAGACGGTAAGACTACGAAACTAACCATTCACCACTTCGACGACGTGTAGTCGAATAAGTACATTGAAGGCAAAAATACCCCCCCAGGCGGACATGACAAATTATGAAAATAATGAGGAAGAACATGCACAGTTTTCTATGCAATATGATAATTATTAAAAACGATGAACATGAAGAGCAAAAAGAAAAACTTTTTAACCACCCCTTCTTTCCCCCCATAAATATGAAGGCCACCCACGGCGGTTTCCATTTCCCTCCAGTGTACTACTGTTTCCGCAAAAATACTGCTTATGGCGGCTTCCATTTCCCCCCGGTGTAGTGCTTCCTTAACACCGCATCTTTCTCGTACCTTTCCTGCAGATTCCCCAATGCTTCTTCATTCCGCTTTTCTCTTTCCTTCGTCTGTCTTTTGTCCTCCTCTATACTTTCTAGAGATTGTTTGTAGTCCCTTTGCATGATTTTTTCGCTGACTTGATTTGACCTATCTTGATCGGTCTCCTTCAAGGTATTGATCGTTTCCCTGGATAGCGGCTTGGGCAAAGCTTCTTCCACAGGGTCTCCATTTTCGTCGAGCTGACCTATTTTTGGGACCGCACCAGCAGCACGCGGATTCCTAGCAACGCTTTCGGCACCACTGTCGCTGTCGGCGGCCGTTAGAGCTAGTGGTTGTACTTATGTGGAAGAAGAACAAGAAGATACATTGTCCCGAGGAATTGCTCGTGGTCTAAGCGCTTGCGGTTCATCTGTGTGATTAGTTACAACAACAAGTAAAAAGACTATCAGAAGATTCGGTCTCTATTAATGCCGCGTTTCTTGAGCTAGAATTTCTTCATAACACTGGCTTCACTCTTTCTTCTTTCCCGACTTTTTTCGTCCGACCTGGCCTTCCCAATATTGGTTCGTCTTTTATTTGCGGAAACTCTGCCTGCAGTTCGTTCAGCGTATTCCTTATGTCTCGAGGCTTCGCATTCGGTGGTGCTCTTTCTAGAACCATTTGCTCGATGATACCTAAACCCTGAGCCTCCGCTAATGGGTTCTCGTCTCCCATCACACCATTATGCCGCACTATAGAGGTTCTCGACTTCTCGTTCGGACTCTTGTCGCGGAACCTAGGCGCTCGATCTGCCTGCCTGGGTCTAGGACTATTGCGTGAAGCATACTGTCTCTGCAAATTTCCCCTTCGATCCGCATCTTGCATCTCCCGCTGGAGTCTCAGCTCTGCCTGTTCGGCACGGAGGTCAGAAAGCTCTTGATTAACATCCCAGTCCTTGGGAATACGGTCTTCTTTCCGACTCCAATTCTCAGGGATAAGATCCGGAGACATCGTACTCATGTGCGCTCTCTTTGGGTCGCGGACATTAGAGAGATCCTTAACTCGATGTAGATCAATTTTTGCTACAACGAAACACTTCTTTTGATCACTACAAATTACCTGAACGTGATTGAGCGTCATTCATTCTAGGTGTTGTCTACTAGAAATAGTACAAAATTTTAGGATCACTGCTAAGTGCATGTCATCCCATAACTTCCGGTGGCATTTCTGTGCTTTCCGTTCTCCAGTCTATGAACGTGCGCCAGTCTCGTCTCTCGAAGCTCCCGTCCATATGGATGGTCCTTCCATGGACACCCTCACCCCCAAACCCATGAGGTGGAATTTGCGTATCTGCGTTGTCTTCGGCGTAGTCTGGCGGTACACCACGTTGGCCACTGCGCGGAGACGGCTTAGGCGAAGCTTGCTTTCGGGGCTGTTGAAGGTTGGAATGGACAGGTAGACTTTTGAAATGGCTGGCAAAATAAATGGATATAGTTATAGAGTCATAGTCAAGAATATAGGATCCAACAGTGAGTCGTGGCTTGGCTTCAACATCGACTATGAGTTTGTCATCGACATGAAGGACACGACGCCTCCAAAAATCTCAAATCTATACCCCAAAGTGCTTCACTCCATCTGGAGGATCCACTGAAGGTATAAAGACATTTTCATCGTCGTCTCGCAGGTAACTCCTCTTCCGCTTCTCTTTCAATTTGCTAAAGCCAGTCGTACTTCTCAGACCCATCTGGTTCACAGTCTTGAAATCTGTTCCACTCGAATCCATACGTTTCGTTGGACTTAAGCTGCCTCCTAGACCTGTAGTTGGATGTTCACCAGCATGATCAGCTTGCTCTCTTCCATCTGGTGACATCGCGTCTCGTGTCAAACCACCTCCTGCGCCAGTGCCGCCTCGACTTCTAGTTGCACTCCGTGGCGGTTTCCCTGCTGTACTAGAACTACTTCCGCCTGTGACCAAAAGGCCAGTCTTATGGTCAAAGCCTGGCTGAATTCCTGAAGAACGCGGCTGCTGTAGACCTGTGCCGCGTAATTTGTTTGGCGATGGCTTCGGTTGCCGCTTGTACAACATGCCCGTCGGGTCAAACGGCGTCTTCACCGGGCCTTGCTGAGACATCCGCTTCATCGCACCCGGAGGAATGCGCGTGCTCGGTTTACTAGTAGCAATAGCTTGTTCATCTTTTTGCGCTGAGGTTGGGATGGCAAGAGAGCCGTCTCCGCGTATCCTAACGACTTCGCCACTGGCTTGTTCGACCTGGTACATGGCAGGCGTCTGATTTCGCTGCTGCACTTGATCCCGTAAGTTGGTCAACTCCTTCTTCTGGTCTCTGCGCTGTCTAAGCCAATCTTCCTCGTCCTGGACATAGTCGACTAACCAAGACTCAAGTTCCTTGCGCTGCTGCTCTAGAACTTTGGTCGTCCGGGACATATCTGGTTTTATGGGTGTCAGATGAAAATAATCCATCACGAAAAAGCAGTGAGTGTGGACAAATCAGGATATTAATTCTACGGACTGATAGAGGCTCATCGTAAGAAAGCGATTACCATTGATTCTCTAATTGTAATTATATTTCTCAATTCAAAAGCATCCGACCGAACATGAAATTCTCCAAGAAATAGAGATTTCTACCATCGCCCACTCTCGGCACATTATCTGGGTTCACGTTTGATCTATCGGCCATCTGCTCTCTAAAATCTGGATCTAATGGCCCTTCTCCATCGTCCGCCACCGCCATTTCCACATCTTGAGCTAAATCCTGCAAGCCAGGCTGTAAAGCGGCCATCACGTCCTTCTCGTCCACCGTTGCTGTCAACCGCAGCGCCCTATAGCAGGTTGCCACGTGTGAGGCTACTTCAGTCTGGTAGTTCAGTTTGAAGATCTCGCGTTGTCTCCTAACTGACTCGATCTCTTCGAACATGCGTCGACACTCCAACCGAGCCCGATTCACTTCGTCTTAGACCTTACCGATGCTCATCCTGAAGGGCATCTTGTTCTTGGTAGCCATTTTCCCTTACAACAAAATAACCCTTAGTGTTGTTCGTGTTCCAAGATGCCTCTACTTGTTAAGATGAATATTATGAGTTAGTATGTTGAGTAAGCGGCACAAGCCTTAATCATCACAAGCCTTGATCCATCTATCGATGAAGCCGCGAGCGCCTTCCTCCTGCTCGATGCCGATGGCCTGCTCTAGTTGCTGGTTCTTCTTCTTGATGTCAGCCATCTTCGACATCTGCTTGTTGGCGTCTTTCAGGATCTGGTGGAGATGTGGAGTGAAGGTGAAAAAGGATCAAAATGTTCGCGTCTTTCAGGATCTGGTGGAGATGTGGAGTGAAGAAGGTGAAAAAGGGTCAAAAAAGCCTATTTGTGGAGATGTGGAGTGAAGAAGGTGAAAAAGGGTCAAAATAGCCTATTTTTGTAATTTCGGGAAAAAAGCACAGCACTGTAATAGATGAAAAATCCTTGTTCTAGGAGGTGAAAAAAGACAAAAATAGCCTATATTTCATCTTATAGTTCTTGGTCTAGTTTCGTGAAAAACGCAGCTGCAACATCACTAAGTACTTATAATAGAATACAAATCTTCCTTAATACCAGTTTCAACTCATAGAATCTTAATACCAGTAATAATAATAGAATGCAAATTCTTCGTTCTAACTAAGTACTTAATACATAGAATACAAATCCTTGTTCTAGCAAAAATTACCAGTTTCAACTCATGTATTTGCGTCTTGTAGTTTTCTGCATTTGCCATTTCAGCACGTAGGTACTCGAACATCCTATCATACTCCTCTAACCGTGCCACAATGGCTTCGTACTCATCTTGCTTGATCAGCTGCTCCATCTCCTCTGGTGTGGCCAGGATGTGAAGCTTCGTCTGAAACTTAATACGTTCCTGCTGTTCTTTCTGGAAGAGCTTGGCGAAACGTTGCGAGAGGCCTCGGACTTAGAGTCCCTCTGGTTATGGAAGTGGAAGTAATAGCCTAACGAGTGGTCAAAGTGAGTTTATTAAATAGTTATAGATAAAAGAATCGTGATCTGTTCTGAACCGATAATAGTGGAGATGCTAGAAGAAAGAGAAAGAAAAACGAACCATCATTGCAACCAAAAAAATCCCAAGCCATAATTGTAATCCGTCGTATCAGCTTTCTCTTTTTCGATCTCCTTCCTATACGCGTCATACTCCTTTCGTACTGCTTCGGCTTCGGCTTGAAGTTCTTCATAGTCAGCGTTCATCTCCTCTATCTGGATATGCAACTGCGCAATTTCTTGCTTCATCTTCTCCTGTACTTGGAGCATTTCTTTGGCATCTGCCTGTGCACGCTCGAGCATGGCGACGGTCTGTATGGTGCGGGGGTGATTGGGAAAGGGTATTTTGATCAGCTGCAGGATGTTGAGGTACTAACAAAAATTTAATTGAAACTATAATAGTACCTTGTAAAAAGTATAAAGCTTATAAGTTTCAGACCGGTGAAGCCACAGTTGTAACTGAATCACAACAGAAATTCCAAGTTCATCGAGTACCTCTTTCAACGCCTCAATCTCCTTCTTTTGACCTTTGATAACGCCTTTTTGATTTTTGATGACGGCGTTCAGCTCGTCTGCGTGTTTAATGGCTAATTCCCAATTGGTGAATTCCTTCCAGGCTGTCCACATCTTTTCCTTCAGCAAGCGCGCTTGAACTGCTTTCATACTCTCCAAAGTGGCTTTGGTTTTAAGCCTGGTTAGTAGGTGCTTTAAGGATAGAAGTACTGTTGAGAGAGGACAACTGCGTCCTCGCAGGAAAAAAAAATAAGACTGTGAAAAAAAAAGAAACTTCCAGCGGACTGTGTGAGTCACACTTCCTGCCGAACAGGCAGTCACAATGACCTAAAAAACTAGTACCTCTTATTCTTCCGCAGTTTGTCAATCGTCACGGACAAATTTTTGATTTGAAACAGCAAGTCCGCGACTTTTTCTTGGTTGTATTGGGTTCTCCAGATGCCCCAAAACTCACCCACGCATTCTGAATTGGATTTTAGATCCGCTAGAAATTCGCCGATCCATAGGAAGCGATCTGCTCTAGCCTGCACCCTCTCCAACGCGATTTGAGCGCGGAGTTGCTGTTGTGGTTTGTGGACTGATTCGATGCCGCCGGGGTGGGGGAACGACGCTGATCGATGTTTCTTGTTGAAGTGAAGAACAATAAAAAGAATTTGAAGAAACTACACATTCCGAATTCGCAAGTCCTCGTCGATCTATAATCACTATTCAGAGGCAATACGGCAACAAAAAGTAAGTTGTACCTGTGCCGCCAATTCTCCTTTCACCCACTCGTTTTCGTCTAATAAGTCCTTCTTCTCCTTCTCCAAGGTTTTTATATCTTCTTTCAGTCCGCCCATTTCGAACTTGAGTTTCTTAATTTCGAGTCGCATGTTTTCGCCACCTGCCAAGACGCGCTTTGGCTGCATATTGAGAAACAATGCTGCCGCATCGAACTTGCTAAACTTATCCTCTAATTTGGGCTGAGTTACTCCCACCGTGGCCTTCACTGCGTAACTACCATTCGCACTGTTATGCATGGCGCTCTTATTGTCTCGGAAGCCGCTGGTTAGAGGTTGAGACGGTGAAACGAGTGAATTGAGACGAGCAAAAGTAACTTGTAAAAAGTCAAACTCTAAGATATGGATGCATCTGGTAACTACACCTGATGAAGCAAGTGCAAGTCATAACTTCTGCACAGGCTTCAGCAAATCCGCGACTGCATTGAACTCCTTTTCTTTCTTCGTGTAGTAGGCCTCTCTGCCATCCACCTCGCGAAAATCGGGCTCACTCTCAGCTTCGGATGGTGTAGCTCCCGTACGCGGCGTTGGCCCCGCAGTTGTGCGTGGAGTAGGGGATGACATCTTGTTACTTCTTTTATTTTATGGATAAGCAGAAAAACAGTTGCTGGATGATGTGCTCTTTGGAACTGGAAGTGGGATGATGTGAAGTCGTTTGCAGGTAGTTGTTGATGTGCTCGTCTACTTCGGGAGTACTTCTTATTAGGTTAATGTGTAGTTTTTTCTTCGGCGGAGATGTTCTTCTTGTCTCCTACTGCGGCAAACCTTTTTTAGGCGCTACTCCATTGCAAGGCGACAGACGCAACAGTCATCCCCTACTAATCAATGAATTTCTCCGGCTCTCGTGCGCAATCCGGGAGGACCGATATTTGACCTACCGCAACACCAGCGTAGCTTTTTACCATGTGGTCAACGCCCTCTTCCATCGCGAGAAAGAACGGCAAGCCCTTCGCACCGCCAGGCACGTGTGAAATAATATCCAAATAATCAAAAACTCGCTTAAACGAACTTCAAAATTACATATTGATTCACCACATTCGTGACCTGCCCAGAAACGGGCGCCTACAGAAAAAGAGTACGGAGACAATTTCGGTTGTTGAGTGGACCCTACAGCTTAGTTATATTTTCGCGCTTTTACAAAGTGGAGGTATCCAAGTTCTTGGTAGTCTAATGGGGTTTTTCAGCCGGGGTCTTGTTCCAGGACCGACTTGAAAGCAGGTGGTACACGACATTGCTGCTACCTTCATTCTTCTCTCTCATGATGTTGCCAACTCGAAGTTGTAAGAGAAACAATTTGTCCTTCTTTTTGAAGGACAGAGACGAGAAATGAAGTATTACTTCGTGCTACCACCGACTACGGAGCAACACCGACGTCTCTCGTAGTATCAATATGCCTGAGGACAGAAGCTGCAACCGAAGGCAGTCACGCGGCTACGACATCATTCGATTTTCCCGTCAGCGAAGACCAGTCACAAACTATAAGGTCCTCAACACGCGAAGTTGAAACATCACAAAGATCACCTTCAATATCGAGGAGATTTGAGCAAGATAACTGCTGCTTGCTTCGCAATCAGAATGATAAAAAAGTCGTTCAATTTTTGAATATGATGCGGGTTGCGCAAAACCAGAAGTATTCATCCTATCGTTCGTTGTGTGTGCGTGTGCTAGGGTTAGCGGAAGTGATTTTTCACATCATCGGTTCTGGTGCTACTTTGCGCCACTTGCGTTGGAGCGAAATATAGCTGTAGAGACATCGAGAATAATCAGTAGTGTTGACTTACTTATTTCTGTAGAGTTCTAGAGTAAATTCTTTATCGAAGCTGTGTATAGAAGATGAACCCCATTTTGAATGATCCCAAGTTAAAGGCGGGCAGAAAATACTAGAGGAGTGGGAATATGGCTACATCACTGCGAGACTTGCGATGTTTGATAACGTGGAAGTTGCGATAGAGACAAGTGGGTGTCCAACATCCTCGCCTCACCTCGCCTCCACACACAAGACTAGATTCTGGTCACATTTTCTCCTAAGATGACCCTGTTTGCCGCATGCGTCGCAATTCTTCTCTTTCGCTGGACATTGGGCTGAAACATGATCATAGTCTCCACAGCGATAACACTCTTTCTGCTGCGGACACTGGGAACCATCATGCCCTTTTTGACCACAATTGCGGCAGACCTTGGTTAGTGTAAGACAGCAAGTAGCTCTTGTAATATTACTGGGATGAAATTCGGTCACAATACATTTGAATGACAATACATTTGAATGAAAGGGGTACTTCTTCTAGAGCCTATTTCTATTCCCATTCTAGAATCTTGATGCTAAGTACCGCATCGCTTTTCCCGGCTCCCTTTTTGCCTGAGAAAGTTGCTGGTCTCCAAGGAGCACCCTTTGTAGGACATTCCCGTGCCCAATGCCCTCCTCTTCCACATACAAAACATGCCTCGTCAGCGGATGATTTGCCTGATCAAGATATGCGATAGATTGGTTGTGATAAGGCGTAGAATGCGACGAAGGAGGTTAGGTTAGGTTAGGTTAGGTTAGGTTCGGCTAGGTTAGGCGAGGTGAAGTGAGGTTAGGAAAGGTTGGGCTAGGTTAGGCTAGATTAGGCTAGGGTAGGCTAGGCAAGGTAGGGTAGGTTAGGCTAGGCTAGGTTAGGCTAGGTTAGACTAGGTTAGGCTAGGTTAGGTTAGTCTAGGTTAGATTAGAGGACGGGACTCATCAAAATACAGGAACTTTTAGGGTCATAATAGTCCGCTTGACATACATCGTTCTACCAAACTAGATCACAAGTAGAGAACTGCAACCGTACTTCGCTAAAAAATGATTTCCAGAACAAGATGGTCGCTAAGCCTTCGTCGTAATGTACCTGCTCCCTTTCTCGGAAAAGGTGAGAACTCTCTGCTACTCCCGCTCCTGCTTCTTCTCCGGTGCCGGTCCCTTGAAGAATATTTACCTCTGCTGGTTTTAGAGAGATGAGAATACCAATACTTACCTCTACTAGACTACTATTAGAGAGTGAAGTTCAACTAAAACTAATGACCGTTGGTCGGAAATTAAAAGTTGGTTGTATTTTCATCCCACCAGACTTGCAGCATTCTTTTGCTTATATTCCTGTCCACCATGTTGGCTTGGTCTACAAATGAACCTCCTTCAAGTTTCATGCCTTAACTTTCGTCTCCCAACGTCCACCTTTTAGCTCTGAACCACGACGTGCACCAGCACGTCCTCTAGCTTGTGTAGTATCGGCACCACGTACAAGCCCTGCTGCTGCTGCTGCCCAGCATTTTATTCTGAGATGGCCAATTTTTCCGCACAAGTCGCAAGTCTTGTCCCTCTTGTCGCAGTCGGCTCTTAAATGTCTGTCCGAACCACATATCCCACACAGCTTTTTGGACGGACACTCTCTAGCGAAGTGTCCGCGCCCGCCGCAATTGTCACACGTACTAATCGTCATGGTGGGTCTTTTCTATTTAGCGGAAAGAAACCAACTACATTAAAAAGAAAGTAGTCATTTCTATCAACCATAAATTCTTTGCTACTTGTGCATCGATCAGAGACTAGAAGTAGGCGCTCTAGGGATATTGGCGCTATTCTTATAATTGATTTCTTCGTGAGTTCTACATGTTTTGAAATTGAATTCAAATACTAATACAACGACGAATACAAGTACAACAACCATTTACATCAAAAAGCTGGCCATCTTCGAATATTCGTGTGCCGTTTCTTCAAATATAACTTAATGGAGTGAAGGAAAGCAAGCGCAACGGAAACTACAACAAAGAAAATAAAAGCTACCTGTTAATAACTACTAGAACCAGAACCAATACCAAATTCGAAAATTTTGTGACAGAAACAACATTTGCATTTTTGTGAAGAGCCGCTGATCAGGAGCTCAGGGCCGAAACTACTCAGAAAACCGCTGATCAAGAGCTCAGGGCCGAAGCTACTCAAAGAACCGCTGATCAAGAGCTCAGGGTCGAAACTACTTGGAAAACCGCTGATCAAGAGCTCAGGGTCGAAACTCTTTCCTCAACTTAGGATTGATGTTGAAAACCGCTGATCAAAGAGCTCAGGGCTGAAACTCAAAAGGAGCCGCTAGTGAAAGAACTCAGGGCTGAAACTCACAGAGGACACGGTACGGCATTGACCAGAAGATCGTCATATTTATGTTTATGAAGACTCTCACTGCAGCAGCTCTCGGATTAATATCCCATCTTGATGAGATGAACGACTTGGCGGGAACACTATATCTCTCTAACATCCTAGCGGAGTCAGTTGTCCACGCGATTTTGTCGTTATTAATTTTTCATAAATCGACGAAAAAAACCTTGTACTCTCCCCTACTAGAACTAGTTGATGTCCTTTGATCTAGAATAATCTTGAATAAAATCTGTCGTGAATGAAGTAGACATTGAAATCACGAATTAGCAAAAAAAGTTCTACCATACTAGAAAGGACATCCGTACATTACTTTCTCTTAGCAGAAACAAAAAGAGTTTATCACTGGAATTCATATTTTTCAGACCCAGAGGATAGTTCATTTAGTTTGTCTCAATGAGTGCATCTATCAAATAGATTCCATTTTCTTGAATATTATTGACTTGTTACTTATCGCAACAACCACGTTTGGAAAGCAAAAGCAGAAAAGCGACAGTCGAGCGACTGACACTGAATAGTAATGAAAGTATGGACATGGATATTGCTATTCTTTGAATCGATTGAGGTTTTCAACACGGCGATGAGCGATGATGTTCAGCGTTAGATATAACCCGGTTTTCATTTCAAAATTGTGTTGGTAAATCCGGGCTAACGATTACATAATTAAAAGAAAAATACAAATGAAAACAGATCGAATGCTCGCATGCACCAGAGGAGATCATAAATAAGTTTAGGAATAAGATATTTGTCACCATATTGCTAAAGTTCACGATGACATTACATGATTTGCAAATAAGCATCAATCCTATTACTGAAAGTAGAGTCGTGAATCAATGATAAAGATATTTACCAGTATCTGACATGTCAGTATCTGGGGAAGCTACATAGCTCATTCTCCTATTTCTTGAGTGTGACGTTTGGGGATGTTATGTACATAGCGTCAACGTCTGAGCCCGACAAGGATGAACCGCAGGACTCCACGCAAGACCTCAATGCCCTGAAGATAGAGGGCATTTTCTTATGATGTGTCCACGCCTCCGGATGCCCTGAATGCTTTTTCTTCTTCCATCTGCAAACGTCTTCGTGGTGGCTACGTGCTAGCCCTAATGACGCTCGACGGTCCAAGAGTCGGAGCCTCTTTTTGATTGCGCGGATCTTGAGCATGATTCGAGCAGAGAGCGGCACTTCCGCCAGAATTTGCGCAAGCTCCAAGGAATTTTCAATCCACCAGCCTAAATTCGTGCACATCTGTCTCCAGATGGGAAATGATGAACTACTGCAAGTTCGTGGAACGAGGTTGCGGAGAGGCAGCAAGACCACCCCGTCGGGATCTACCACGGGTTGAAACCAAGTGCGACTCGTACTGCTGGCAGTTGCGATTCTCGCTCCTGCGTCGTCCACCGCTTTGGAGACAGCAGAGGTCTACTCGTACCTGTCTGTTCTTGACAGTCGTTCTTCGGCATGTCGCTACGGACTTGCTGCCCCACCTCGTCGCTTTCGCCTGTCTCCGAAACCTCGCCTGTCTCGAGCTCGACCAAGTCGAATTCCTCAAAGTCGAGCATCCAGCCTCTGGCGGGGATCTCCCGTAGGAACGAGTTGAGCGTCAACAACATCTCCAACACTCCAATACAAGAAGAAGAAGCTCCTTAGAAGATGTTGAACTAGTGCCTGCAGGTACAGCTGGGCAGCTCACACCCTCGCTATAGTCTGGCCATGCGCATGTGAAGAGCCGGCGAACAGCACGAAAGTAGTTTCGTCTTCCTCTGATGGACAACCTTGCAAGTTCAAAATCAAAGGGGACTTTGTTGGGATTGAGGGCGTCGACTTCTTCCTTATCGATGTAGGCCTTTGCCGAGAGTCCCTCTGCGCTAGCCTTCCCCTGGTAATCCATTGCCAGCTGCTCTATTAGCGTTTGTTTCTCGTGGTCTCGCTTTGCAATTGCAAGCTTCCTCAGATTCATCTTCGGACTGCAGCGTCCGCCCTGATGACGCTCCGGCTCCTCCGACGCACCATTGACTTCGGAGGGCCCCCGGTCTTTGCTCTCGGAATCTCGAAGCGGCAGCTTAGAAGTTCTAAAACAAGCGAAAAAGTCGCGAGTCGCGTTCTTTCCCAACAAGGTCTCCTCGCGCCTTGTTCGCTGGTGTTCTACTTGGTCTCCTATTTTGGAGGTGTTATTCTTGATCTTGGACACACTCTGCTCGGTGAGTGCCTTACAACTTCTTGTCCGCTTGTTCGACAAGGATGCGCCCTGATGGTTCCTACTTTTCTCCTGCGCGCCTCCATCGAGCTCAGTCTCTGTCCCGGAGCAGGTGACTGCACCTTCTCCGGGACAGAAACTGAACTCGATGCTCCACCTTCTTTCGATTGCTTCGACAGGATTCTTTCCAGATGAAGCTTCGTCGCTGCTCTGCTGGGAAGCCGCTCCGACTTCGCGACGCGGCTGAAGTCCTTCTCCTTGATCTCTATCCGCATGTCTGGTCCGTGGTTTTCTCTCCACATGCCGACCAAAGGCCCCCGAAGGCTCAGATTTACGCTCCTCTGTCTGCGAAATTCTTCTTCGCCATTGATGCGAGTGCGCAAAATCGGACCCCATGTTCCTTGGACTCGCTGAAAATGAACATCAGCACAGCCTTTCTCGCCTGGCGGCCGCACATCCACGCAGAGCAAGCCCCGGAACCTCTTCGAGAAGGTATTTCTGTAGTCGACACATTCCGGATCGAAGTCCCAGTGCCGCCACGGCGAAGTGTCCTCCATCCTTTATGTTTCACTCATCTTTATGAATAGCAATCTTCTTTGATGTGGTCACCACGACCAGTAGTTATGCCACACGACAAGTTTTGTTTTTAAGCACGTGTACAGAATCAGGATCGTCAGCATACACTTCTCGCTTTTTCATCATTGTCTGATGACAATGTGATAATCTTCAGTCATCTCCATTCTCAAGTTTATTCGGTCCACTCGTTCATTCATGTTCGCTGTTCGGGCCTTTTTTTTTTGGGACCTGGGTCTATATTCCTCGCAATACAAACATCTAACTACCCGGCGAGAATCCTGAAGCACAACGGCCAGGCACCTGAAAATGCTAGACGATGAAGCACGACGGCCATCGCCGCAGAAAAGCTAGAACCCAAGCCCCACGGGCATATTAGTCGACGGCTCATAAGTAGCAATAACGTTTTTTCGCAAATTTTTGTTTGTGGAGAAAGGTTCATGGATATTGTTCGTGGTCAATCGTTGTCATCGTAGAGTACGTTAGCTTAGGTTAGGTGGGGGCCCGCCAGAAAAACTAGCAAGCTTCATTGGCTGCTGAAGAGCCAAAAGAGTACTATCTGGACATTTATTGGTCATCATCAAGAGACAATGCAGCACCTAAATCATTAGAGCTCTGTCGTGTCATGTTCAAAAGCCAACATTATGCAACAAATTAGAGTAGATGCACCTATGACATAATTAGACATTACTACACGAATGCTTTGAAAAACGACCCTATTCATCCATCACAATAAGAATATGACAAGACTTCATCGAGCATGCATGCCATTCAACGATCACATCATATGTTAGTCGAGCACCAAAAGTCAAAAGTAACAACATTTTCCTGCGGATAGAAAATTTCATAGTCGGAAAATCATTAAACAGCATTTGGTTAGATAGAGTCAGATAGTAAGCATAACGCAGGGATCTTCTATTCGGAGATAGTCTGTGGTACATCAATTGTTAGGAGTCATTCTTGACATCAGCCCCAAGAGAAATGTAAGTATTTATCGATGATGTTGAGTTTCAAAATACCTGGTAAGAGAAGGAGCGAAGGAATCAGCATTTTTTAGGTCAATTATCTTTGGTCAAATTCAAGGTCAAATAGGAAGGATTAATTTAGAAAACTACAGGTCCTGGACCTAGGTGAGGACATTGGTAAAATGTAGGGGGAGGACATGGATTATCAAGGACCAAGTCTAACAACAAGAATTAGAGCTGTCCTCCGCAATTATCTTCTTTCAAGTGCTGCATCCTAGAAAAGTACATATGGGGGAGTATTATTCCCTTAGGATAGATATGGAAGTGGATACAACAAGTGGTGGTTCATTTTATCAAGGCGCATTGGAGAGTCCGTCAGTAGTGCGTTCTCTTCGAGAGATCTCTTCTAGAAGTTCAATTTAACCTGGTGCAATGCAAAATATATTAAGTGGCGCAATAAGTGGCGTTATCCATTATTACTATAGTCAGTGTTCCAAAATATCCAGACAAGTCTGGGGTTGATGTCCAAAAAATTATACGAGTGGCGCTAAACGAACTTGAGTCTTTGGTGTTGAAAACTCAAGAGGCTCAGCGTAGCCTTGAATCATAAGGAAGTGGAAGGCGTAAACATGACGTAAACATGACGATATGGGAGTGAACATCGCGGAAAATACGAGCAAGGGTCTAAAATGCCATGCCAAGATGGCCCATCGATCTGCCTGACGCAATACCCGATGCGAACGCATGTGTTGGTGAGGGGGACACACCTCGGGACCTGAAGGTGGATGGTGTTCTTGTGTATAATAAGTATCTAAGAGAGCTCAGAGCTCTAATGCGATAAAATAACTCAAGTTCAAATTGTTCTTCCTTTACTTGCCTTGCAGATGCACAACATCACTCATAAGACACTAACATAATTAATCCACAACAAGAGACACAATGTCATACAGTCTCCCAGTGCTCGATGCTGCAGTCGTCGGAGTTCGCGGAGTCCGGTGCTTAGGCGCCGACATTGGATTCCATAGGGCGCTTGCGGCAACGCTAGGAGGCACCAACTTGTTACCCGATTTGAAACTTGCAGGCTGACGGGAACTGAACCTTGTGTGAGAGAAGAGGGAATGCGAATGGTAAGTATCTGAGCCCACTTTTCCTCTACTTCCAATCCAGTGAATTACTGTAATTATATGTATAATTACTTTATTGAGAACATCGTCTTTTTTCCGAACATAAGGTACATTACAAATAACGCGAGATCCAATTCCAATCTTACTTTAGGCTTACAAGTTAGAGGAAAATCTGGAAGACTGTTCGCACGTAAAATTACCTTGGTGATGGCGCATTTGAGGTGTTGACAACCCTCTTGGAGCTTCGTTGTGGAGGACTGGAAGACGCTATCACTACTTCTGACCTTTTCGGAGCATTCGCAGCAGCGCGCGACCTAGTTGCACTTGTGATTAGAACTTGTGCCCCAATTATTTCTTGTTGTCTTCTACTAGTACTTCTATCTGAGTCGGTCTATGGCTTACAAATGGTATCCGCTTGAATACCTTGTGGGTGTGTTCTTCAACTTTTTCGAGAACATTGTATCATTGAAGAAGTTGGACTACATACAATTCGGATCAAGAAGCATTTGAGGCGAGTTATCTACTTCTATGGAGTAAGGATGACTCATGCTATAATAGCCTTAAGACAAAGGATCGTGGGGCACTGGTGAATGTTCGCGGAGAGGCAGATCTAGCACTTTGCGGCAAAAAACTGCTACCCTGAGGAAAGCCACCTTCTACGCCACTTTCGAAAACCTCTCCATTCTTTGCAAAAACAGTGATTTTGCGACCTGCGTTGGGGCAAGAACAAAGAAGTCAAGGCGACCTACTAAGAGGGATAAAAGCTAAGTAGGTATGCTTTTGGAAATTGTTACTGTATTATATATACCATTTAGGTTGAATTTGTAGTAATCACTTGTTACGGCCCTGTCGGCAGGAACGTCTTCATCCCTACTAAGTGTCCAATCATACTACCTGGCGGCACCCAGCTCCGGTCGTTCTTTCCTTGATATTTCTCCTGTACCGATCGTGGTACAGCTAACGCCGCAAGCCTTGTCGATATTTCATATCCACTTTCTATTGCCGAAACCCGGTCTCGAGGACGAAAAGAGTTTGTCAGTCTGTTCGACACTGGTGATCTTCTGCGACCTTGAGTGATTTGTGCTTGTGGGGATAAAGTCGAGTTTCAAGCATTCTTGCTTGATTGTGTGATCACATGAACTGGCTGTTTGTTTTAGTTTCTAGTCGAGGATCAGTTGTCTGTTATCTGCGACAAAAAATCATGTGAAGCACTGCGAGGTCTCAATCTCATTCCAGACATCAGGAGTGCTAAATGTTTCTACTAGGCTGGAAGTACTTTCCATCTGCCTTCCGATTAAATCCTCGTACACACCGTGCGTCGCGTCTAGGTCGATCGTAGACCGTGGTGAAAGCCCCCCTCCCGCAACATTCGTTCTTTGACTTGAGTTTCTTCCCCTTGTGTGAGATAATTGTCCTGGTCCGGGTCCTGCTTGTCTATGCAGGTGCCCAGAAGATATGGTCGACATGCTTTCCCTAGTCCTATTATTAGAACTAATGGAGATCCATCTTCAGCAGCATCTTGGGTCTCCTTTTCCCTCAAAACGGGACCAAGATGACAGTGACGATCAATTTCTTGTACCCTTAATGTTAGTGTTGCTCCGAGGTCTACTAGTAGTACCTTGAGGATTTGAAGCTCTGTTTGAACCACTTGCGTGAGAAGAAGGCGAGACTACATCCCTTGGCCTGTTGCTCTCATAGTAATTTGTTCCGGACATCACGGACTCTCTGCCGTATCGCTCGTGAGGATTAGAAGACACACTCCATGCCTGTCTACGTAAATCATTATGGGCTCAGAAAGGAGCGAAAAATTTTTAATGTGCGACTAATCAGCACGACTGGGAGCTTTACTGGTATCCGCGTCTTTTGATCTAGCTTTCACGTGAGCAGGGTCAAGTAGAAATGTCTACAACCTATCATAAAATTCGTGCTCCGACTTTCCCTTCCTCCTTCCTGTCCCTCTAATTCGTGTATTCTAGTTGCTATTATCTTCTGGTGATTGTCGCTCAGGTCACGGAACCGATTTTCGGGGTTCCCCTTTGCCGGAAAGAGATTCTCCATAGGCGTGTAGTGGAGAGCACCTCCAGTCTCTTTTTCGTTTTCGTGTCGTGATGGGGTGGCAGGAGGCGAAGACTTCTCGTGCTCGTGCCACTGTGATTTGTTGTGGAGAATCAACAAACAGGAATATGTCTGGGAACGAGAAGCCTCATCATACAACACAAAATGAGTATAGGGATCCTACTAGAGTAAATTATAAGGAATGTACTTATACAGTCAATCCTTCTGTCTGTGCAGGACAAGGTCCTAGATGTGGCACTTCTCGCGGCTTTACAGGACTATAGCCTCTAAGCGTTGACTTTTCTTCGCCTCTTGCCTCTGCATCAAAATGATGTGTTCTACTCAAATGATGGGAAGAAGATGAAGAAGAAAACCCTGCTCCCGTCAGTATTCCTCCAGCTCCTACAAGAGCAGCTCGACGAGAGGTCATGGTGGGTTCGATGTTTTCCTTGTCTTGAGGTGTGCTTCTACTTGGGGATGAAGGGGAAGGGGTCTGCTCCCCTCCTCCAGCTGGATCATCCCCTGAAGAAGCACATTGTTTCGGATCTACCCTACACCCATGATAGTAGGTTCTGTGTTTTGATCTTTGTCTCGGATTGCCAGCGTTGAATGAACTGGACCGTTCCGTTATTGCGTAATGGCCAGCACTGACCCATTTGACTGGATTGTACCACAGGCTGTTAGCATAGACAGCACGCTCTTTATTTCCTTCGGCTTCTGCACCAATCACTCCTCTGACGCGCAAGGGCAATGATTGGGGACCAAGCTGTGCACCTCGGACACTAGCGGTACGCCGCTCGCTCTCAAAATCAAGTAAGCGAGTCATGGTATTTTCATTTGGTCATGCATGTGATGCAGCGTTATTTTTGTAAATATTTTTTCCGGGATGAAAAGTTAATTTCTTTTACGGTAAAATCAATGCATTTTTTCGTTCGAAGGCAGTGCACAAGATTTCACATTTTTTCTTTCCATCACAAATAAGATTTCGTGCAATTATTATCTTCCTTATTCATGTTGATCCTGTAACCGCCTCCTCTCGATTGTTCCCGAAGACCTGTCTCGCCAAACCTCCTCCTCCTGACATCCTGTTTCACTTCCACGACGTGGTCTGCACGGAACACTACTTTGTTTGCTAAAGAGTCAAAGCAGCGGTCGTTCTGACGTGTAACAATAGGGCCAGCCCTTATCCGGCAGTCGGCTCCTGCGCAAAGCAGTCTGTCTTGTTTGTAGATGAAATTCACCTGACTGAGATCAACTTCGCAAAATCTTCCTCCATTGAGATGAAGGCGAAAGAACAAAATTCAAATCGTGGGTAGAATCTTCAACAAGGGTCTACGATGAGACGTCGCAGTAAGCTTCATTTCGTCGATACTATGCACAAGATGTAAACTTCTGAAAGTCAAAAAATCAAATCACAACATTATTAGAGGTAGGTTTTTGGTGCTCGCTTACCCCGCTTGTTATGCCTTTCTCTCTTAGGAGAGGCATAAAAAGCGGTAAGAAAAGCACCTTTAACCTACCCTTAACATTATTCGCGTTCATCTTCTTCCAGGATGACGTCGCAATTGCTCTCCTTCTTCTCTTTGCCCTTGCCGCCACCTCTTCGCGTGCTCATCCCCAACATTGCTGCACCGCCGGTTGCGGTGGAGGGAACATTAGAGAGTGATTGTAGTTCGTCTTCCTCTCCAATATTAGAGAGTGATTGTTGACGTCTTGAAAAATTGATGTCAAAGAACGACTATCAAGACCTTAGGTTGTAAAAACTTAGTCTAAAAAACTGATTATTCTTCATAACACCATTCAACACACCTTCTCCCATCTCAGCCAGCCTTCCCGAGTGACCACTCGAGGGTGTCAACCCCGTAGGGATGACTTGCAACGCCGCTTTCGCCTGCAAAAATTTGAGTTCTTGTTGCGCCCTAAGATTTGTGAGGTCTTCTTGTGCTTGTTCTAGTTGCAGGAGTAACTCTTGATGTCTTGCCGCACTTTTCTCTGCGCGTGCCGTCTCTTTCTGTAGTTCTAACGTGAGAGCTTGAATGAGGTGGAAGGCGTCTGCGTTTTGTAGTTGATCATGCTGTAGTTCTAGAAGTACTGGTTGTTGTTGTGGATCCTCTCCAAATTGTTGCGGGTAATGCGACGTCGACGACGTCGCAGGACCGAAAGACTGCTGGGTTAACATCTTCATTCTGATCGTTCTTGCTTGTGGTGGAAGGAAGGAAATTGTTGTTATGGTTCGAATGTGGCAGTACTTGTTGAGAAGAACTGAGGTCGACGTAACTTGAAGATGGGGATCGGTAAAGAACGTTAGTTTCTGTTTCACAGTTATAATAACAGTGGTAGAGCCAACCTAACTAGGAGAGGTATCAAAAAATTTTATAAAAACTCAAATTTTACCTTTTGAGGTTATCCGTAGAGAAGTGACACTCAACAGCTTAGCAGGGGTCCAAGGGTGTGGGAAAAATTTTTATGTTTTCTTCTTTGCTGAAAATTTTCGAAGATGGATCAGCATCAGTCCCTTTTTTGAAATCCCATGAGCTGCAGACAGAATACTTGGTACTACCAGCCTTCTGCCTGCTCTAATACAGCGATAGACAGTTCAAGGTAAAACGCGACACGCTGAGCGCACTCGAGTCAGATTTTAGCATGGACTTCATCAAGTTTTGTCACCTTGCCCTCCCTCAAGGTCAAGAACTTCATTACTTGAACAAAGATACTGCAATAACAAATCGCTGGCACCAAGCCTCGTTATTTTTTGCAACTTCCAACAATCTTTTTTGTCTGTCATCGTCTCTGTTAATTTCGCTTGGTCCGTCCATCCTCTTGCACTTCCTCCCAATAGGCACGGCGCTTGATACACTGCCAACTCCTGTGCGAGTTCGTGACGCAGGAACGCCGCATGAACCCCAGCTCCTCCTTCTACCACAACTTGAATCACTTTCTTTTCTCTGGCAAGGTAGCGTAACATCGACGCTAGTGCTTGTTTCTCTTGGTCTGCTTCGACTGCCAGTGTGTCCTTGATGGCGTGTGGAGCTAACTGAGGTTTGGCATGGTCTAGGGTGGATGATCCTTGTTGGTCTAAAGATGAGGAGCCTTGTTGCTCTGCTTCTTCTCCTCCTGTTGAAGATAAACTGCTATTCGATAAACAAACGACTTCAGCATTTGTAACCGAAAACTCGCGTTTCGAAAAAACAAGCCAAGGCTGGTCACCTGGAGTAAGTTGCTTCTCGCTTTCTAATCGGCCTCGGCGATCCAGGACAACGCGAAGAGGGTTGTGATAGAGTGGCTCAGACTGCTGTTCTTTCGCACTCGAAGTTGCTGTTTTAGTACCAGTAAAGTTTGACCGGTGCTCCAAGCTCGGTTCAAGCACCAACGCTCCCTCTCCAGCTGCCAACCTCCCACGTATTTCTTCTGTCACACGCACATTGAGTCGTGGTTTGTCCGTCAAATACGTTTCGCTGCCCACGATCATAGCTTGAGAACTGGCGCGAAACCGGAGATGCGAATCCGCGCGTGCTTCAGCAGACGTTATCCATTGCGAGGTCCCATCAGCGCAAGCTACTTTTGCGTCCAAGCTGCAACCCACTTTCAGGGTCACATAAGGCAGTCCAGTCTTGCGTTGATACAAATACGGTCGTAAGGAGTCCTCGCAAAGCGAACGAGCGACATTTTCGACGACTTCAATCCCATTTTTCCGCAAAAAGTCAATGCCTTTGCGGCCACCAAAGATCGGGTCTGAGTCTACGACACCAATGCAGACTCTCGGTATTTTCTTCGCGACGAGGAGTTCATCGCAAGCAGGTGTGCGCTTTCCCGGTCCTGCATGACAAGGCTCTAAAGTCGAGTACAAAGTCGTGGCAGGATGTGATAATAATGCTTCACCACGACCTTTATCTTCTTGTTCAGTTCGTTCTCCACCTTCTTCTCCATCGTTCTTTCCTTCTCCATCTTCACGACCTAGAAGAACGTCTCTAATCGCCATAACCTCTCCGTGTGGTGTCCCAGGTCCATGATGAAATCCACGGCCTATGATGCGGTTCTGATTGACGATAACACACCCCACCCAAGGGTTCGGAGCACAGATGAAGCGGCCACGTTCACCTTCTTCCACAGCACGCCGCATCCAATAGGCGTCGTCTCGAAGGACAACTTTTTTTTGGTTCCTTGATGTCACAGACGGAGACAGGTGGTGTTGAGTGGGAGTGGCCATGGTTTGGTTTCCTTTTATTTGTTGGCGTGATTTTGCGAACTTCTTCTAGATAATCATGTCACGTTGTACTAGAATGATCTTTCAGTCTAGTGAAGCTAGGAATTGCTCTGGAGTGAATATTTTCCTCGTTCAGGTTGTAGATTCTGATATTTTTTGTGTCCTCTTCATGCGGACAGAACACTCTAAGGAGAAAGTGATTCGCGAGTGTGCAAGTTCGGCATTTAAGGAAACGAAGCATCATTGTACCACTATGCAAACAATGAAATCTATTCCATGTAGAAGGACAATGTGACAGCTATCAAGAAAAAATGGATGAATAAATACACTCCCCCTGTACAGAACTTCTAGCTTTGGTTACTATTCTAGAGAAGCTTTCTCTAGATACTTAATTGAGTTGCTTAGTAGAGGAGTATTTCAAGCATCTCGAGTTAATTTCATAGGACAACAATCAATCAGTCGATCATTCTTTGTGTCCCAGATTCTTCGTGTCCCAGAGAAGAGACTGATCTTACGAATTAATGACGAAGTCTACCATAATATGTATGGATTTCTACCAAAAGAGCATAACATTCCATGTGTTCATCTGATATTATGATCATTCTAGTAGAAGGAGTTCCAGCATATTGATATTGACGATAAGTATAAGAGTACGTTTCATGTGTGATACCAGGAATCGATGCAGCTGCCCCGGCTATTAGTATTACCCCTCAGATTTCTACAACGAACCTAGACCTACTAGTATGCCTTTCGTGCGTCTTCTTTCTTACAAAGTGACCAACATTGCTCCCTAGTTAACTAGATAACTGAAACGAAGCCGTGACAATACCTCTCTTCAGGGGTGCAAAAAAGCGAAAATGAACATTTATGATTGAAGAGGAGCCTGAGATCATCCTTAGGTATTAATGTTATTGATTCGACCAGCATAGACGTGGAAACTTGTTTACATTCTCATTAGATTTTACAACATATTGAAATTGATGTTGTCTTTGTTTTCACTACCATTTTCTGCCTCACAAAAATATGTTGAACTTGTAATGCGAAATAATAAATCATCTATTAGTACAAACACTAGATGCGACCAAATTACATGATAGATTCAAAAACATAATAAACAGAGAGATAGTTGTGTGCGATGAACCCAATCAAAATTGATAATACAAAGAATGCCTTGTGTAGTCGAGATGAGCAATCACATCGATCTATCCGAACCACACCGATCAAAAGGAAGCGTGCTAGCTTTTGCCTAATTAGTAAGAGGTTTCGTGTTGAGAGAGCTTAATTTCATCCTTTGATGTGATGGTAAATACTTTGATTCGTATATTAATTGGATAAAATAAAATGCACAACATATTCCTTCCCCTTTGATGTTGTTCAGTGAGGTAGTTGATTGCTATGTTATAAGTTTCAATGTAGTTCTTGTCATCTTGCGTTGAATTCAAAATAGGAAAGACCAGCGCGCTATAAGTTGGTTCTTGTGTAAGAAAAAATCTATCTATCCTTGTTGTAAGTATCAATCCTTGTTTGAAGTTGTGATGAAGTAGTTGAAATGTAGCGTATCATACTCTGTCGTTTCAATGTCGTCTATCCTCGTCTAGATAAAAATATTAAGGTGGAAAAAATCATAATGTTTTTGTTTTGCTGCAATCGCAACTTACAGAGCAAACAGACCAGTCGCCTCGTCCCCTCCGTCTATGACTGGATATTATCTCGTCTCACTGATTAGTCGCGATGATAGGCCCTTGCTTGCTGCTCGATTGTCTTGCGTTTTCGTTTTTCTTCAGCAAGCTCGCTCCTTAATTTCTCATTTTCCATCATTAGCTCGCGGCATTTTTGTCGCAACTGTGGATGATATTAAATAGGGGCGTTGTTCGTAGGGCGATCAGTGATACAGAAAGACTTTCTGGTAACCTCCTCAGATTTTGTTCTTTCTCTATTCATTGAACACGAAACTCTCTATTCATTGAATGAACTCACTTCGTTCTTGCTGAATGAACTCAGTTCGTTCTTGCCTAACTAGTAACTAAGCAGCATCAACAGCAAAACTAGAAATATACATAGTACCTCATCCGCGCTAGCTTGCCTTAATTCCTCTCCTATCGGATCGTCGACTTGATGCAATGGATTAGGCTCTGGCTCTGCCCCTGCTGTAGTTTTGTGTTTAGCAGTGCAGGAGTTGGAGTTGTAGATAATGTATGGAGGTAATGGGAAGGAGTAGATAACCTATGCTCAAGTTGTGGTTGGTAATGGAGAGGAGTTCTTGCATGATCTCGGTCGCGACCGTGTTGAAAAAACAATCAACTTATACCACTACTCACACAATCGAGAGACAAAAGGAAAATCAAGTACGCTGCACTGCTTCACTAGGTGTTGTCTGCTGTGGAGGTTGTTGCCCACCTCTGAGTCGCACTCTGTCTCTTGGTGCCTTCGGCTGCACATCTAGTCTGTACACGCCATTTTTCTCATCATAGCTCTCGACCTTCGCTAATATCCATCGATCATGCATTGTTCGTGATCGGTACCTGGCGTGTGATGCTTACTTACTCTTACATTAACACTTGTTGTAAAAAATGATAAGTCTAGATGAACCAGAAGTGACAGACGTGGATAGAAGAGGTGCTCCCTTACTCTTACATTAAATCAACTGCATGTCATGTCGTGGCGCCTCTTGTGTAGCTATCTTGTGTACTAGCTATACGTGTCTACTACTTGTGAGGTGGCTATCCAATAATGTACTTAGTAACAAGTGTTATCTACTTAACACACCTCACGTGATACTGGAGACTAGGTCTAGGTCGTAAAGCAAAATCATTGACTAAGCGTAGAGCAATCATGAAGACGCGGTAGCACCAGAAGACAAACACTGGACTAGGATCAATACTCAACGAATGCCCCTGGTGGATATGGGTGGCCTCCCGTATAGGTTATTGGTGCTGCCGTGTCCACCGCTCCCCTTGTTTGCTGCGAGGGCGTGTGTCTACTCGCGTGTGCCCCTGAAGAGAGGAGGATTGCTTCGGAGACAAATACTTTAGATCAAGTACTTCATCAGATTTCGAGTTTTATAGTGGAATATGAACATATTATCCCAAAAACTATTTTTATTCATAATAACGAAGTGCTGTAAGTGTAATATCTGCCGCTTACTACTTCCCGTCGTATTTGCTTTCATCGGCGCCATTGTCTCGTAATTTACTGTGCCGGATATTAGAAGAGAATTCAAAAACAACAACCTGAAGAGACTCGCGCCATTTTCCGCTTTACTTAATGCGGTCTGCTCAATTCGTGTTGAGTGATAACTGAGTCGTGGTGATGGCCTACTTCCTATGAATAAGACATGTCAAATGAAAGGACGATAGCACCTCAAAAAGTATGTGTTAGAATGAGATTACTCTAGTAATCGTAGAACTGCATCAAAAAAATAAACACTGCCTTAAAGCCGGATGTTGTCTTGATGGCTCGTCATGTTCTGAGGCATTCTCCTGTTCTGATCTGGGACTAGGCGTGTCTGGACACGGCAGATCACTGGGATCGATATTATCGTATGATGGCGGAATAAATTTCGGTGCTGAACCCGAGAATCCTACCTGAAGACGAAGGAGATGTATCCACAAGTTGTTTAGGTCTGTCTCTGTTGGAGAGCAGTGGAGAGTGAAGATATGAAGAATATATGTGCTGCTGTTGTTGTAAACGTTGGTAGTACAAGAACCCTCAGGGAGCAAAGCTTCGTTTCTTCATCGTGGTCTATAATCTGTTGTGGCAGTAGATGGGCATATATGAAAAACTGAAATAAGCGAGCAGGAGTAACTACTGAAAATTTAAGGGAGATACTGAAAGAAGAGGAATGTAGTCAAGACTCTCCCATTTCAGTCAGTAACTCGCATATTCTCAGTTTTCTCTGCAGACGTGAAAGTCATAAATTACATCAAGGCCCTAGCAGGCCTCTGCCGTCGAACGTGTACTAGGGTGAAAAAATGAAGTACCAAGGCCCTAGCAGGCCTCTGCTGTCGAACGTTTACTGGGGCAGGCGGCATGACTCCTGAGTAGGCCCGGGCTTGCATTTTTCGAACCCAAACCTAGAACTATGTTGCAACACAGCACTTGATATCAAATTTGATGATCGATTCAACAATTTCACCAAGAAAGACATGAGGTTGCAATGGTTGAGAGCCATCCTCTCGGCTCAACATGGTAAATACTCAAAATTTTCAGAGGCCATTTTGCCTCCATATTTGATGGGGACTACTTTTACTTTTTTTCGGAAATTTCTTACTCTCCAAACCAATGAAAGCACCTTAACATTTTTTTCCTCCTTCTTGTTCATTGAGGAACAAAAAAATTGATTGCCAGGAGGACAAGAATGCTCTTATACTATGCACCAGCAGACCCGAAATAACCCTTAGTGCTTTTACTTTCGAGGACCTCTGTGTCCTTTCCTCTCTTCACAACGCAGCCTTATCCTCGTCCTTGCAATTTTTTACAGCAAGCAGGAACACAGTTTCAAACATGCAGTGAGAAGCACGTCGCAGCCAGAGAAGAACTCTTGCTCTTAAACAGGCTAGCATGTGATGATGATGATGATGATGATGATTGAGTCTGTGTGGAAGGGTCTAGAAGGTTTAGGGTTCGCGCGTAGAAGTAGGGACTGCTCGTGTCCAGCATTGTGGTTCCTTCAATTTCTATGCATCATCATGTGGGAACTACAATAGGAGTGTACCAATGTATAATGAGGCAGTAGAACGTGAGAAACGACTGCCCACACGCCCTCTCCGCATCAACATCAGGAATAATTTCCTGCTACCTCGGCGCTGGCATCATCGGTCCTCCAGTCGCTGGTGGTCCGATTCCTCTAGCTGCGAGCGCACTGCTTATTGGTACTCCCGGTCCGACACCCATTCCGAAGTTTTTGGTATGACTCGAGGACTGATTCCGCGATTTGTCGTTTTTCGCTACTTTGTCGTGCTTTGGCTTATGCGTTGCCAGCTTCTTGAACTTGGTCAGAGTCTTGTTCTTCTGCACTCCTAGACTCTCGTATTCGAGTTTCTTCTTCTGATGCTCGCTACCTGCATTGCGCTTCTCCCAGTTGGACTTGCGAAGGGTGATGGGTCGATTCCCGACATACTTCCCATGGATCTCTTTTAGGGCAGAAACCATGTCTTCTGGGTGCTGGAAGCTAACGAAACCATAACCACGGGTCTTACCTGGAGGTCGTGAGGGACGATAGGTTGGAGTTGGTGTCAGTGTATCTGATGAAGAGGACGAGTAATTCATACATTCATTCTTGTAGGATCGATTGGAAGTAGGCTGCAGCAATAAACATGTTTTCGTATCTTGGTGGTGAAAAATCTGGTTCTAGAATTCAACTCCATCGAGAAATGAATTATATGAAACATCTGTATAAAAGTGATAGATACCATAAAAATTACCTGTCCTCTTATTCCTAATCACTTTCGCTTTCTGAAAGCTCTTGTATTTTCTAAAAGCGTTGGCTAGGAGGTCGTCGGTTACTTCGTTTCCTAGGTCTCCGCAGAATACCCTAAAGTCATTTTCTGGCCAATCATCTAGAGAACCGTCTACCCAATAGTCTCCGGCAGCGTAGCGGAGGTTTTTCTTGTTGGCCTTCTTGCCTTTGTCCTCTGTGATGCGAGTTTGTGAAGGTTGGATGGGTTTACTCCAAGTTTCGGGGATAGCGGAAAGGAAGCTTGCCTTGCTTCTAAGAAGAAAATTTTCTCGATTGAAGAGTTTGAATCTAAATCACAATTGTTCTGCCTGGGCTACCTTAGATCGAAAATTATCAAAACGTAAAAATCAAAATCAAAAAATACTCTGAGCATTTGCCAGCTCCGCCGCCGTCACTGCACTCGGGAGCTGTGGACCTATCTGGTCTGGTCTGGCGCCTGCACCGAATATAGACCCAACCGGTGCTTGACCGGCATTCCGGTTGAAACTCGTCACGTTGATCGGAACGGTCGCCATTCTTTTGCTGAACTTAGACGCGAATGTCAACAAATCAAATAGGTTACAAATGGAATTTCCTTATCGATTAAAAAAATCTGAAACCAAAAAAATTACAAACTCATCGTTCTGAATCTACAAGCCTCTACTAGAGCAGCGCGAGAAGCTCAGCTAAATGTACAACAATTGATGTTTTAGATAACCACGCTCTGGCCTGTGACAATGGAAATAATTGGTAACCGTGAGAAGAGAGCCGAGAAATTACGGGCGAAATAATTCGTGAATGATGGCAAGTTGTCAAGTAGATTGAGCGTCAGAGGAGTCACGTAGGCATTGTGCGTTTAATCCAGAACGCGTTCTGATTGAAATACAGCATCTCGTTCTCGTTTTCTTCACATCTCAATCCATGATGAAAGCCTGTTTCCCGTTCGTGAGCTGCAACACTTATTTTCGTCAACATCAACAATTCATGTCGTTGCTATTCGGAAGTATTCTGATTCTTTCAGCATGATGAAAGCAGATTTTCATTCTCAAAAGAGATGAGTCCCAACGAATGGCAGAGAACGTTTCTTGGAAAACATCAAAATTCCCATCCTAATATGAAGGTCTTGTTTGTTGAACATTTTTACGAGGCTGCTCACTGGTCGAAATTCAGACATCCCATTCAAGAAGATTCTACTTCATCAAATATGTTTTTTATTTTTGTGTGAAGGAGATTTTCATTTCATTATCAAGCAGAAAGAGACTTACTGTCTCGATGAAATTCAAATCCAAGGAGCACCCGTATAATGCGAGATCTTCATCAGCCTGCTGCACTGCCACCTCGTCTCCTTTCAGCTTCTGCCACTTGTTTCTCAAGCTGCTTGTTTTCTCTCGTCAGCGAAGCCACTTCGTCTCTCACCTTCTCGATTTTCTTGCCGTACGCCTCGGCTTCGGTTCGGATTGTGCTCTGAGGGATGTCGTTTGAAATATAGGGAAGTTGTTATTTTTGTTATATGCAAGTATGAATCTTCTACTTCCACGTGATGAACTGCAAGTATCTATAATTGGGATCATTAACTGGTGTCCTTGCCTTGTACTTGTTGTGACTTCATAAAAATCCAAAAAAAAAACTGTAGATACCTTTCTCGCCAATAATTCTGACTCGAGGTTTTGATATCTCACACGCATGGCTTCCATCTCATCCTCAAGCTGCATCCGCCTTCCTATTTCGATATCGTGTTGCTGTTGCGCATGCTTTAGCTCCTCATTACTGGCTATCATTTTAGCTTCTGGGATTAGAGCAAGAGAGGTACTGACAGAGGACATGAATCCATTCATTCATTCACACGAACCACGTAGCAGCTCCAAGTAACTGCCTGGCTCAGTTGTGACCCGAAGAGAGACACGGCAGTTACAAATGAAATAAAACACTATTATGTTAGAGGTTACGGAATTACATTCCTCAGAACATCCCTCACCCCTTTCCTACTGGAAAAAGAGTGAGGAATGGTTGTGGGGGATGTAATAATTGGTTAACCCTTAATTATAGGCTACTTAGCCGCGTGTGCTCCGTAAAATTTCTGCTGTCTTCAACTTTAACGCCTCCTTCTCTTGAAGAAGCTGCTCCTCCTCTTTCTTCTTCATCAGCAACTCGTGGTTTATGGCGTCGAGGGCGGTTAGCGATGCTTCTCGCAATTTCTTAACTCGGTCCTCGGAGCTGATTTTGTTGTGCGCTAGTAGAGTACAGAGCTTTTTGAAGAGAGGAACTCTTCAAGCTTCTCAGTAAAGTCGATTCTTCTTTCTTACTAGTACTATTCATTCAAGGTAAGTAGGTAGTACTCAACAGATATCTTCTTGAGTTGCTCTTCCAGCAATTTCGCAACGTTTTCAGCCATCTTCTCCTTCTGGGCGGTGCGCACAAAAACGTGCGTCATAAAGTCGTCCTTAAGTGCATAATCTCGCAATGCCTCTATGAAATACTCCGGTTGACCAGCTGCGTCCGCCTGTTGTACAATTATGTAAAGTGTAGTTGATAAATAAAGTAGCCATTGATGAAAAAGCCTGTAGTACTAAAGTGATGAAATTCATTGAAAATGTTTTTTAGTGGTGTCGTCGGATGAGAACGAAAAGATGTAAGTAGTGTAGTTGTCAACACGTACCTTAGCCACTATAAAAATATTCCCAACTACACGTACCTTAGCCTCTGTCGCAATCCTGCTTTGCTTCCAAAATAGATTCCTACTAGCTTGCGGATCTACACTCAAAGCGTGTGTTTCGTGCAGCAGCTCAACATAGGCCTTCAGCTCTCGTTGCGTGTTTCGGTGCACTCGTAGGAAGGAGGAGACCGACTGTTAGAGGAAAGGAGGAACAACCATGAGTTTGTTAGCAGTTACAGTGAAATAAGAGAATGAATAGGGAAAGTGCAGCGCTTGAAGAGCTGAAGCAAGAACACCGGATTTGGACAACAAAGTCAGGGAAAGTTCAAGCATGCGTGCCAGAGGAGAGATGAGGGACTAGGTTCTCCTTGTTTCATCACAGATGTGCTGTTCCTCTTGCCATAGTTTAGTTCTACTTCTGGTTCTGTACTGAAAGAAGAGGAATGCAGTAGTCAAGACTCTCTTTTATTTCAGTCAGTAACTCGCTTATTTTGAGTTTTCGATTATTCGATACCCTATGTATAGACAGGAGCTTACAAAATAAATATGGCTCATCACCATAAATCTGTTCCAATTGTTCCTGTCTCTGCTGTCGAATAAAAGCGACTTGTTCTGTGATAGAACTCAGCGCTTCGAACTCAAAGACGCTCTTCTCCATGGCATGTTGACCATCTTGGACAAGACGGGCTAGTTTGTTCGGCCCTGCGCCGAACATCGACGACGCGCCGGCGGCGACAGCTCCCTCCTCCATTCTTTTGGTGCTTGGGGGATGGTGCTTGTTGGTGCTTGGTGCTTGTTGTATCAACACGAAGTAGATCTCTCACGTAGTTGTAGTATCTTCTTGTTGTAATCCCCCGTCGTCTGTGATTATAGACCTTCCCGTAATCCATCGTCTGTCCAAAAATTTCCGAAAATCCCAATAGCGCTGTCTCTTTTTCTGCTTTGAAAAGGAGAAAACCTATTAAGAACAGTGCTGATAAGAATGGATTACCGGGACAAGGCCGTAAACTCAAACTTAAAATCTAGACCTAGAAAATGTGGTTGGCATAAGACGATGAAACTTTTTCTCGAAGGAGTCGGGGAACGAGCAAAATGCAATCGCTTCTGGTTTCGCATGTAGTGTCAGACGCAAGTCGGGAACAATACACGGTAGTTAGTACTCCAACGCTAAAATTTCGGTTTGTGTTCTTGCCTCGTGGGGGTCGTGGTACTCTTTTTTTCTGATGCTCTTTTGCGTGGGTACGAACTTGGTTCTTTCCCCAAAGAGGAACCAAGACCTAATGATGTAGATCAACTTCTAGGAAGGATTCCACAATATGTACTAGGGAAAACTCCGATTATTGTGAATCCCCATGCCCATGATTATCATCTTTGTTCTGGTGATTCAAAAACGTGACCAGCTGCACCTCCGAACGAATCCATCGTCTTGGACTCTCCAGAGGTCCTACCCATTTTACTAGACCCTCCTCCCGAGGCAACACTACCAAGACTGCTAGTTGCACTAGCTCCCATCTTCGCTGACCCTCCAAAGTTAGAGCTCACAGTAAGTCAAATCTTTTACCGGCAACATATTCCCGGAATCTCGGCGGGCGGCTGAGACAAATGTTAATCTGTCGTCAAGATGAACAATCATATTGTGTTGAGCCTTAACAGAACCTCCTGAAGCCCTTGGCGACATAGCTCCTCCTGCAGTGTCGCCTCGTTTCTTGTTCGCCGAAACTGCCGCAGCACTGGCTACTTGTTGCATGATGGCTGCGAAACGCGCTGGATCCGGAACGTGGACTCTTAGTCTGGTCTGTAATTTTGTCCTGCGTTCTCGAACCGCTTTATTTAGAGGTACCGCATGGGCATCCTTGGCAGCATCCTTGGTGCCTAATTCAAGTAGAAAAGGAGCCAAGGATGACGTTGAGGATGCTTCAGCGGTAGCCTTAATTTATGCAATTCCTGCTGCAAGGGGTATTCTATCCCGTGGAAAGCCAGTTGCACTTCTGCATGTCGCACGCCCACTGCTTCGATCTCGTTCAGGATTAGACGAACGAAGGGCCGCTCATTTGACTTACTTACATAAAAAACTGATGAAGATGAAAATTGTTGGTCAATGGTCATTACTGGCTCAAGATCCAACGAACGAACCTGATTTCAATGTCAAATGACTGCTCTCACTCGTCACCTTGATCATGATCAATGCCGTTCCTTGTCTTGAACTCTTGTTAGTTCCTCCTATGATCATCGTTTGAACTCAATGAATTCCAACATGAATTAGCAGCAAGATCTCCCAGATCTTTAACTGCACTATGACCCTTCATGATATCCCAATGACATTGAACCCATTTTGATACCATTTCAGGGCCTTAAACAGTCAGTGATCATTCGGCACGTCCGTTCTGATCGTCTTTCTGTTACATTGCAACGATAATCATTCCATTTACTCTCAAGAGCCTCATATTGCGCTTGGACGTGTTCGGGTGTTCCAACACTGTTTCAAGCCCTTGAGCCTTACCTTATTAAAGAAATTGCTAGTCAATACTTTGTAGAAGTAGAGAAAACAAAGTCGCATTATTTGCGCCACAAAATGCCCGATATGAGTCTTGGAGAGATTTCACCCAAACTGGGACAGAAATCTGACTGGCGTGACTGGCTTCGAGCGGTAACGCAAGAAGCGGACCGCCTGGACCTAGTCCAATACTTCAACAACGTGCTGAACGGCAATGCGGCAGGGATTCCGAACCAACCCAACAACAACGACCGCAAGCTCCAGCAGAATTGGCGAGATTTGAAGAACGTGATCATCAAGTCGCTCAAAGGTGCAGCCGCAGCACATATGAAGGATCAGGATACCACTGTAATGAACGCTGGTGAAGTGGTAACAAACCTCCGTGACGCTGGTTTCAGTCAAAATGACCGCACAGAGCAGCGAATCTCTGCTAAAGCGTTGGAAGGGATGCATTTCACGAACAGTGATTCTCCTCCAGACGTTCCAACATTCTTGGCGAAGGTTAGAGATGTCATGAACCAATCTCCGACCGTATACCCGCCGGAAGTTGGTGTGGCTGTTGCTGATCAACAAAACGGAGCAATCCTCGACATTCTGCCAAAAATGTTTTCCAAAGCATTTCGACAGACAATCGAGAGGATGCAAGAAGATGAACATCTAACGTTCGTCCAAATCGGTGACAGACTCACGAAACGGCTTCAAAGTTTGATTGACTCTGGTGAGTACAAGATCGAGAATCCATCTTTCGGCAAAGCTTTTCCAGCTGTCGAAGATTCCGATGATGAAAACCAGAACAATAACAAAACCAAGAAGCGTAAACGTCAAGATGAGAGTGATGACGATGGTAACGCGTTTGCCGCTCTCAAGAAAACAACGATCAAACGACTTCGCAAGAAGATTCGCAAAGAAATCAAGAACGAGGTCTACGCAACAAAAGGAAGTGGAAAGAGTAGTAGTAGTAGTTCTAGTAGTAAGAAGAACAAAGGAAATGGCAAAGGTAAAGGTGCTAAGAACTCAAATCCTAATGAGGGCATCCAGTGCAACTATTGTCACAAATATGGACATAAGGCGCACAAATGCTGGCTAAACCCGATGAGTCAAAGCTACCAACCTAACAAAGCCATGGGCAGCAACTTCTTCAACAATTCATACAACTGTTGGCCGCAAGGTAACACTATCCCTCCGTGGCACCAGAACAACTATCCACCGCAACAAAGTGGAGGAAAAGGATTCGACAACGGTAACCCACAGCAGCAATGGGGTGGACAACAACCACAACGCTGAGTCGAAACCAATCCGGAATGGAATGGATATGGGAGACGAGATGGACAGTCCCAAGATGAAGAAGAATTGGAAGAAGATTTCCAAAATGAGGATGGAAAATGTTCGCTGAACTTGGAAGAAAACTTTGAGAATAAAGAATATAGAAGTGAACTGCTTAGGGATGAAAGCTATATGATTGACAATCACTCAGGTTGCTATCTTAGTGCAAATCAAAGCAAAACAGTTTCACTTGTTGACAGTTGTGCAAATAAGTATTTGTCTAGCCATCGTTCCGATTTCAAGAAAATTAGCCACCGGCTTTGTCATATTAGTGGCACTGCTGGAAAGCGAAGTGGGAACCTAGGTAGACTAAAAGAAAACAAACTAGGATTAAAATATGGCGTACACTTTGAACACTTACCAAAAGCCATAGATCGCATTATACCGTGGTTAGGTGAAGGAAACTGTCATGAAAAGGGTTGGCAAATGAATTTCACAGAAAGTGGCGGAACGTTGTACAATACTCGCTCCGGCCGCTCTCTACCCATAACAAATTGCCCCCAGATGCAGTTACCTATTCTAGGCTGTGACATGTTTAGCAAAGAAGAAAATGAAACTGAGGAGGATATAGTATGCACTAGTATAGAAGAAGCTAGACTTCATTCACAAGCTTCAAGATTAGACATACATCGTAGACTTGGTCACTTTCACGTTGATGGCCTTAGTGTATCTTGTCCAGAATGTGATCGAACCAAAGGTCAAAGACGCTCTCATGCAAAAGTGAGACCCCCTGGACATATACCTTCTCCATTGAAAACACTTGCAATTGATTTCGCAGTTGGTATTAGACCAGTATCTATAAGAAGCAAAAGATGTGCTTTAGTCATTATTTGTGATTCGATTAAAATGTGTTTCGTTCGTCCTCTTTGCCTCAAGTCGGACTGCGTAGAGGTGATTGAAGAAGTAATAAAAGGCATTCGCCAGGACTACTCATTGTCACTCGACGACAAGGTGGTGTGGTTCATCCGTAGAGATAACGAACCCGTCCTAAGTAGTGACCATATGACCAAAGTCATGCAATCGCTACTGGTTTCGGAAATTCCTGGAGTTCCTTACAACCCAGAAATGAACGGAACTTGCGAACGTTTCATGCGGACCATTTTCGGTGCTGTACGTACCATGTTGGTCAAAGTCGACCGACGTCTTTGGTGTTACTGCTTACAGTATGCCGGAGATTGTTGGAATCGCTTACCGCATCGTTATGCAAAAATGCCAGAACGTGATGGAATGAGTCCTGTCGAGATACTAGAAAAGAGGATAGGAAAGAAGTCCTCGAAAAGTGGTCTAGGTATGTTAAGAAGATTTGGTTGCTTGGTGTACTTTCGTGAACAGGTCGTAGACACCACCAACAAGAAAGAAGCAAAGCTTGCGTCACCTTATCGGCGTGGTGTGTTTCTCGGTCTGTGTCCAGTTTCGTCTGGTTGGCTAGTAGGTACATATCACAACGATGGGAGAACGAAAGCTGGCTTCAAGTGGAGTGAGTATTCCACACTAGACGTAAAATTTCGAGAGTCGATATTAGTCAAGAACATTGATTGGCTATTGCCTACGTCGAAGGGCATTTATGTTGATTATGACCCGCTGGAAAACCTGCAGTCTGGCACGCCGTCGCTGGGTCCCGTCCTGCACAGACATGCGCTGCAACGTATGGCCTGTCAGCCGCGCTTCTCTGGCACGGAGTACAGCTCAGGCGATCCAACCGGCATGGAAATGATACTAGATAACAATGACATTGGTGAGTTTTTCTGTGAATCTTTGGACAAAGAGGAAGATCCAAAGACCGGTGATGATTCCAACTCTGACGCGCAACGCGTTGAGGAGGGGAATATCTCATCGGAGCGTGTGTCGCCTGACTCTAATCCTGAAGCAAGGGATCCGAGGACCTTACCCATTCCACCATCTCAACCAGGCAAAGTTGAGGAGGGGAAGAAAGGCCGAGGAAGACCTAAAGGGAGCAAGGATAAGAATCCAGGACAACGCAAAAGAAGAACAAAAGCCGAGCTAGAAGCATTAAGAAAAGACATGCATAAATTTGCCATGCTAGCAGGCGGGCATGAGCTGGAAGAAGGGGAGACCTTTCTCGAAGCACATGTCATGCTGTCAGTTTCCCAAGCCTTGAAAAGCCCTGACGCCGAGAAATGGCGTGCAGCTATCACCAAGGAGGAAGCTAGACTACTTGCCTTTGAGACTTGGGCGCCAGCTACTGACGAGGAGCTGCGAACCTCTTCTCAGGTAATGCCTATAGCAATCGTTCTCACGGTAAAACGTGATGGAACTTTCAAAGCTCGTGCTTGTGTGCTCGGGAATCTTGATCGTTCGGGGAATATCGACACCTACGCCCCTGTAGTGTCACATGCTGCGAATAGACTTTTACTCGTTTCAGCAGCGACGGACTCTGACTTCGTCATCCCATTCGACCTTGATTCTGCGTTCCTTAATGCTGAACTCGATCGTGACGTCTTCTGCCGTCTTCCACCAGTGTGGGCGGAGAAGCATGGAGCGGATATCGTCAAGCTTAAGAAAGCTCTCTATGGGCTCAAGGACGCTCCACGAGCCTGGTTCAAGAAGTATTGCGTGCTATTGTCCGAACTCGGATGGGAGCCGTGTCCTTCTGCTCCAGGATTGTGGCGGAAAAAGAGCAAAACGCACCCAGGAAAGTATATGAAGATGTCAGTCTATGTTGATGATAACTTAGCTACTGGACCTGACTATCACGAGTTACGGTCTGAGCTCGACCGGATCTTTAGTCGCGCCCCTGGCCGACCTATTGAGATGGCAAAGCGAGTCGATTCTCTTACGGGTTTCGAATGGCTAGAGTTCGACTTTCTTGGTGCGATTGTGCACTATTGTCGGGAAGCACGTTCAGTGAAAATCCTGATGAATGTGTACATAGAGAAGACTATACAGAAGTATAAAATAACATTAGGTAAGCCGGTGTGGTCTCCAAATTTCGACGAGTCTGCTTTGCTTGAGGAGGGGCTTAAGCTAGCAGCCGGGTTTCCATTGCGTGAGATTGTTGGCGCACTGCTTTGGATATCGACAACCGCAAGGCCAGATATTTGCGTCCCTGTGGCGACATTGGCTCGGTATGTCAGTAAGCCCGTTACAGAAAGAATTGCAAAAGCCTGTAGAAAAGTATTAAAGTATCTAGCTACGACAAAAGACCAAGGACTCTATTATTCTCCAGAAAGTGAGGAAGAATTCAACGGAATTTACAAGAAGCTCCTACCAGAAGGAAGAGAGCTACCGTATACTAACTGGTTCTCAGATGCAGGATTCGCAAACTGCATAAAGAGCATGCGCTCGACCAGTGGTTCGATTATGTACTATCGGGGCTTTCCAATCTGTTGGAAACGCAATACACAAACCGTGCGTGCATATTCAACTGCAGAGTCAGAGTATATAGCCGCGTCGGACACTATTGTCATGAGCGAGCTGCATGATTTTACAGATTTCTTCAATCCCTTACCCACTCAATTAGTGGAAACGCGGTTTGGTATATCGCCATCCCTCGATGATGCCATATTGTGGATAGACAACCAGTCTGCAATCTCGACAGCAAAGAGTGAAGACACGAAGCCTAAGAGTAGACACTATGCGTTACGTTATTTACGAGTTAGAGACGCAGCTGAGAAAGTAGTTTTCTGTCCTACTCACCTCATGAAAGCTGATGGACTAACGAAACTTTCATGCTCATCTACTCAACGCAGATTATTATTACATCACATAGAGAATCCAGTCATTAGCCGTAACCATGATGAAGATGATAGTGACTCGGAAACGGAAGATGATGAGTCTGGTTCAAGTTCTGCTTCCGTGGCGGTGCTTACCTATTCTATCTTCTTAGGGTGTTAGGTCGTTGGTCAAGTGGTGACGTCAGTGGATATAGAGAATCGTGATGGTTCTGGGTCAGAGCAGGTAACACCAGACCGTTTGTGACTTTCGTCATTTCCTCACCTAGCGATTGAGGAGGGGTGTTGGTCAATGGTCATTACTGGCTCAAGATCCAACGAACGAACCTGATTTCAATGTCAAATGACTGCTCTCACTCGTCACCTTGATCATGATCAATGCCGTTCCTTGTCTTGAACTCTTGTTAGTTCCTCCTATGATCATCGTTTGAACTCAATGAATTCCAACATGAATTAGCAGCAAGATCTCCCAGATCTTTAACTGCACTATGACCCTTCATGATATCCCAATGACATTGAACCCATTTTGATACCATTTCAGGGCCTTAAACAGTCAGTGATCATTCGGCACGTCCGTTCTGATCGTCTTTCTGTTACATTGCAACGATAATCATTCCATTTACTCTCAAGAGCCTCATATTGCGCTTGGACGTGTTCGGGTGTTCCAACAAAAATGGACCTCCACATCAGAGTTGTATAATATAATGTTTCAACACAAGCAACAACGAGTGTCAATGACACCAACGTACTACTAAAGAATTAATTACATGCGGCCCAACTGAAGAAACCGTTTCCATAAACACATTTGTTTCCGCAAAGAGTATCCTTGATCGAGTTCGCCCTCTATGTCGACGTTGATTTTCTTCAGACTTTGCAAGCCTCTTTTTGTCGTACCAATCTGCGCGTCCACGGAATTGTATTTCTCCGTAATGGTGTCGAGCTGAATGCGATTAACGTTTTAAAAATCGTAGTACTGGTAGAGTGGCGTACTGCAATGTTACTAGAACAGAGTAACTTATAAGGTTTGCCAGCTCGCATAGCATGGATCGCATGGAGTTGCTTGCAACAAAAGGGTGCGCTTCTTGCGTCCCTTATGGGTCTGCGCGCCATGCACTCCATCCTACTCCATGCGCCACGCGTGCTATAAACTGCTCTGCTAGAATGGTACTTCGAGTAGATACTACCAGCGCTTGAGAAGCTTCTAGCACTAGGCGATAGTCTAGAAAATGATAGAGATCCTAAGTACGTTATTCCTCAGTTCGTCGACTTCGTCATGTATCTTTTCGACCTCGTTCGTCTTAGCCAGCAACTCCAAGTCTGCAGCCTTCATTTTCGTAATATTTTCGCGATGCGACTCTTTCGCAGTAGCTTGGCCGCTCTGTGCTAGGTGCTGGGCGATTAGAAGTAGCGATGGTATCTGATGTGTCACCTTTTGCAGAAGACCACATAGCTCCTTACCCGGTGTAGAAGTGAATCTCCATAAGTAATCAGAATCAGTTTCTTTCTTCTGAAACAGCGCGCACTCTGAGAGCATAAAATTTCACTTGTCAGAAGCGACCTTGTCGTTCTGTGAGCGGCCTCCCGTTCAATCGAAGCCATGATCGCGCCGAGAACGAAGTCCTTGGTTCCGTGAATCTCCTGTATCGCACTGTAAAGCCCCTCAGGCCGGTCGGCGTCGACGAGGGCCTGCTGAATGAGGAGTAGGAGGTCATAGTACTGGTGTAAGATAGGTACTTGGAATCAATTTTGTGAGGAGACGAGACTGAGACGGATAGGAATGTGGTGTAAAGAGTTGTCCGTCGAGGTCCCTAATCTTGTGTAAGGAAGATAAAATGTACAACTTGCAGGGTATAATCCAAGAGATAGAAATTCCAGCAGAGAAATCAAGATCTGTACCTCCGCTTCATCCCTAAGAGCCTGTTGCTGCGCCAGTATTTTGCGAGCTCCGGTTTGCGACTCGGCTAACTGCACCAGCTGTTTCAAAATTTTCTTGTAGCCGTCACCTTCTGTTTCGATGCTCTTTATGTATTCCTGTAATTTCGCTTCTATCGTGTGCAACGCTTTTCCTCTCTGCAGTAGCAAAAACTGTAGCTTTGCCATAGGTTCTCTTAGCAGGTCGTATTCAGCCTCTAGCTGTTGGAAGTGTTCTTTTCTGCACTCTATTAGAGGTTGTAGTCTAGCACTCCATTCTTCAAAACCTCCGGATTTCTTTCTTATTGGAGAACAAGCCCAGAATCGTAGTGAAGAAATACATAGCGCGAGTGTGGTAACCCTTAATTCTAATTCGCCAAAAGACAGTGGTCGTCGTGTGATCTGTTGCATTGCTTCAGCCGGGAAGTTGGTTTGCCGCACAGACTGTCCTTTCAAGCCATTTCCGAGGCCGCTTGATAGAACTCTACTGCTGCTTCCACCTGTGCCACTTGACGCCATACTGATGCCTGAAGCGGTGCTCAAGCCGCCTCTTGAGCGGGCGGATCTGGAGACAGTGGAGGCGGCTGCTGATCGACCTCGTGAACGTGCGGTGCGTACTTTAGAAGTGGCTCTAATCAGTCAGTCCTGCAGGCAACTCATTATTGAAACTGCAAATCATGATACCAAAAATACCTATTATATCTCAAAAATCTCAGAATCTTCAATGACGTTTCCTCTGCTCGTACCAAGAACTTAAAATTCTCCACTATCTACTAAATCGATCCCCAAATTTCCATAATCTTATTCGCCCCAGTCGACCGTGGAGTTGTGGTTGGGTAGCGTCGCTCTTCGACTTCACGGATGATATCGGATGGTTCTCGACAGAGCTCTTCGCTCTGTGACAACAAAGCAGCTTTCAAAAGGTCCAAACTTTCACCCGTCTGTGAATCCTGAATAACCATTCCTTCGAGCAAAGCGTTGGGATCGCCGGGATTAGAACCGAGATACTGAAGAACAAAGAGTAGCCTATAAAAGCTACCTCCCGCCGTATTTCAGTCAGTAACTCCCGCGTATTCTCAGTTTTCGTAAATCCCATGCATAAGAGGCGACGAGTCAGCTGAGACGCACACGAAGGCGTTGACACTTTTGAAGGGACGAGGAGTATTATTTTGCTAGATATGTCCATGTGACATACTAGCCCAACAGGTGGCACCAAGTTCGAATGAACCTACGAAATGACGAAATGAGTCGTGAAGAGAAAAGCCAGTCTCAAACTCTCTAAATCCCATGCATAAGAGGCGACGAGTCAGTAGTATCTCGCACTTGTCTGGGAATTCGTGCAAAAAGGCCACCAAGAGGATCTGGATCATCCCCCAGCAATTCAGCCAAGGATGACAGCATTAAATTAGACTTCCGTATATTCATCTTGAAGCGCAGCTTTGACCTTGCCTCATCGTACCCCGTTAGTGCTAACGAGCAAACGGGGTCCGTGCTAGCGTCTCAAATATGCTTCTTATAAGATGAATTTAATACCGCCCACGTGCCCCCGGCGTGTACACACGCCGGGGCAGGGCGGAAGGGTCTTGCAAATGCTACGAGTTACAGAAAATCCATACGGCCTATCGGCGTGCTACGACTTACGTATAGAGTGGCGGGCTATGGAATAAGCAAAGCAGCTACGTGCCACAAGCTACTACGTGCTACGTAAACGGTTTGCGTAGCACTCACCCCGGCAGCACCCGAAACGCCCAAGAGGGAACTACTTCGAACGAATGAAGTAAACGGGTAACCAAATACATTTGCCGACCGAGAGGCAAATCCTTAGGCAGATCACTCCAGGCCTGCTGTTTTCGGTTCTCAGCGTAGTGGCTGGGCGAAGCACTCCGGTTGACTCCGCTCACCGTGAGAGCTTCACGCGCTCCCTGGCCCGGGTTTTGGGCGTGGGTCCCATACTCTTGCAGCGTGTTGCGCCTCCGGCTGGCGTGGCAGTGTCGCGGGGGCGCCTCGGGCTTGTTGCTTTCGGTTCTCAGCATAGTGGGCGAAGCACTGCGCCCGACTCCGCTCACCGTGAGAACGTCCACAGTGGATCTATTCCGTGGAGAGAACTAGGGGGCGGCCCCGTTCTACTCTCAGCCCGTTTGCGGGGTTTTACTCTTTGCGCCGTTTTGGGTTTTCCATCCAAATCGCGCAGCTTTATGGTGTCGCGCTGCTGCCTACTTTTCAGCTGCTTCGCGTGTGCTGTCTGTGAGCCTTTTACTCTCTCAAACCTACGGCGAGTCGCGCTCTATCGCTTAGCTTCCTTATCTGCTTCTGGCTTTCTCGAGAGGTGTGGGCATGCGTCATCTCAGGGCTTTGATCTAAGTGAACAAGAACAACCCCACGCGAGTGCTGCGCGGCTTTCACGTGCTTGAGCGATGCAACCTGTGAGCCGCTTGAGCTTTCTAATCAAGAAGCAAGCCCAAGCCGATGGGCTTGCTCGTTCGTTGCTTATGGCTTACTCGAGAGGCTTTATCCTTTGCGCCCATTCTTTTCTTATCCAACAAGCGCAGCGCGATGAAGTTGCTGCGTACTTGTGAGCTGCTTAAGAGGTCCCACCCTTTGGCGCAGTTCAAGACCCTCACCCAAACGGCGCAACGTTGTGAAGCTGCTGGCCCTTTTGACTTGCTGGAAAGGTCTCACCCTCTGACCCAGCGCAGGCACCCTATCCAAAGGGCGCAGCTTTATGAAGTTGCTGCCTACTTTTGAGCCAGCGACCTGCTTGAAAGGTCCCAGCTTTTGACTCTGCTCAAACCTCTCACCCAAAAAGCGCAGCGGTATGCTATTGCTCTCTACTTTTGACCTGCTTGAAAGGCCCCAGCCTTTCAGTCAGCTCAGAGATCTCCCACATCAAAGGGCGCAGCTCTATGAAATTGCTGCCCAGTTTTGACCTACTTGAAAGGCCTCACTCCTTGGCCCAGATCTGGCCAGCTTGCTTATTCAAAGCGTGCAGCTTTATGGAATTGCTGCCCACTTTTGACCTGCTTGAAAGGTCACACCTTTTGACCAAGCTCAGGCATCCTATCCAAAAAGCGCAACTCTATGGGGCTGCTGTCTGCTTTTGGCTTGGCTTGTTTGAGAGGTCGCGCCTACCTTTTGACTTTGCATGCTCAAGCTCCCTGCCCAAAGAGCGCAACTTACTTCATGCAGCTGCTGCCTACTTTTGGCCTGCTCGTAAGGTCCCACGCTTTCACTCAGTCAAGCCAGGCGAGGCCTCTTACTCAAAGAGCGCAACTGTAGGAAATTGCTGCCCACTTTTGACCTGCTTGAAAGGTCCCACCTTTTGACCCAGCTCAGGTCAAGCATCCTATCCGAGGCGCGCAACTTTATGCGACTGCTGTCGTCTACTTTTGACCTGCTTGAAGGGTCCCACCTTTTCACTCTGCTCTGGCCTCTTATGCAAAGCGCGCGGCTTTCTGCGTTTCCTGTCTGTTTTTGACCTGCTTGAAAGGTCCCACCCTTTGACCCAGCTCAGACCCCTTATCCAAAGAGCGCAAGTCTATGAAGTTGCTGCCTACTTTGTTTCGAGCTGCTTGAAAGGTGTCACCCTTTGACTTAGCTCAGACCTGTTAACCAAAAAGCGCAGCACGGCTATGCCGTTGCTGTCTGCTTTTGAGCGGCTTGAAAGGTCTCACCTTTTGACGCCGCTCAGACTCCTTATCCAAAAAGCGCAACTCTATGAGAATGCTGTCTACTTTTGACCTGCTTGAAAGGTCTCACCCTTTGAGCCAGCTCAGGCCCCTTATCCAAAAAGCGCAACTTTATGAAGTTGCTGTCTACTTTTGATCTGCTTGAAAGGTCCCACCCTTTGAGCCCGCTCAGGCTCCTTATCTTAAAAGCGCAGCTTTATGGGATTGCTGTCCACTTTTGAGGTGCTTGAAAGGTCGCAGCCTTTGAGTTTGAGCCAGCTCAGCCTCCTTATCCAAAAGGCGCAGCTTTATGAAGTTGCTGTCTACTTTTGACCTGCTTGAGCGGCCCCATCCTTTGAGCCAGCTCCAAATCCCGCACCCAAAGCGCGCAGCTTTATGACGTCGCTGTCTACTTTTGACCTGCTTGAAAGGTCTGACCCTTTGAGCCAGCTCAGGCGCCTTATCCAAAAAGCAAGCAGATGCCAACTTGCTCAGCGTATAGCTGCTGGATACTTGCCTCTGATTGCATTTCTTTGCTTGCATGTGTGCCCTTATTGTAGCACATACGCAGACGCGGCGGATTTTCTTCATGAGATGACTAGCCTCAGGCTGGGGCGCTTTGCTCTTCGTTTTTTGTCCATGCAGCGCAGTCCTTGGCCTGTGCTGTTGGTTCAGGGTTTTGAGGTACTGCCGAAAGCCTTAGCAGGAGCAGAATCGCGGGAAAGTTGTACTCAAAAACGCGGCATTTTTACGGCGCGAGATGTATACATCTAGCCCGTACATCTTTCCCATGATTTCCGTACATCTCAAAAAAGTAGAATTTTGGAAACCTACTATGAATCGCCCCGGTGTAAGTACATCTCAAGCGTACATCTTTCCCGTGATTTACGTACAAGATATATATCTCGAGATATATATCTCAGACGTATACATCTCACCCGTACATCTTTGCCATGATTTGCGTACATCTAAAGCCGTAAGCTCCCTCCTGTTTAGCATTGAGAATAAGTTTTGGTTTATAATATAGATAATTATAGTATGGAAGCCTTACTTTTAGGATCTGCCTCGTCTTCGGTGGCGTTAGACCTCGCATCCGGCGCAGTGGCACGTGAATCGTCGACAAAGTCGAGGGTGCCACCTCCTTGTATTTCGCTCACTCGATCAGCACTTGCTTCTGCCGGGTTCGCACCACGTCGTCTGCCTCGGGAAGGGAATTAGGAGCACTCAACTAAAAACTAACACCAGGTCTGGAACGGGATTAGAAGCTCTCTGTTGTTGGAGAAGTTGGAAGAGTAATACAACTTCGAAATGCCGGGAAATGAGTGCGCTTCGAACGTAGAGAGGTGCCGCGGATAAAACTAAGGATCTAGGTAGACGAGGGGTCACGAAATTATTAAGAGACGATGAAAGTAAAAGAAATACAAGTAGTGTAAGTTGTAACCCAAACCCTCCTGTGTGTCCTTAAACTTTCGAACTATTCGCCTTGCTAATCGCCTGTGCTTCTTGTAATGCGGTGACAAGGCCTGAGCCAGTGTCGTTGACCCCCTTTTCGAAAAGCAGGTCGTAAATAGCGTCATGAACCTCACCTTTAGCCGCCACATCATGTGCTTGCAATGGTGCGGGTCGAGAAGGGGTTAGAGGAGGAGAGCAGAAACGGGTAGAAGTTATTGTCTAAGTAGGTAGAAGTACTTGTTGATGATGATGTGATGTCGTTAATTATGTATGAAATCATTGATGATGTGATGTCGTAGGTACGGCCTCTCCTAAGTACAAATCAAAAGATCCCGGTGCAACGTGAATGTATTGCGGCTTGCTCGGCTTTCTGCTCCCCTTTTTTGGCTCAGAAGGACCACCTCCAGGAGTTCCTAGGTCCTTGTTCATCTGAACGGAAGAAGTCATCTTTGTTGGCGTGCGCGCGAAGGGCAAGACTTTGGCGAGTGATACTTTTCTTGTCCTTAAAATTTTTTGAATTGAGCAAGTATGCTGTGCTTTTCCCCACTTTGGTTTGTTGTTGAGCTTTTTACTTTTTTGTGATTTTCTGATGCCATTTCAATGTTTTACTTTTTACCAGCAGCAGACCTCATAAGCTTTCATTTTTGAAGCAGTACGCTGCATGTTGTCGTTTTTTTTTTGGGATAGGAGATTTCACCTTTTTCGGGGGTTGCTGGGGTCCGTAATTCAGTGTTGGGCTCAAAACTTTCTAAGCAGCTTCTGTGCATAGTGGCCGGGAATGCTTCTCGAGGCTTCCTTGTAGTAAAAACAGCAGGCTGCCAAAGCCCCTGGGTCTGCTTTGGAACAAAAGTCAAACTCCTCCATTATCTACTCTGAAAAGATAGGTCGGGTACACTTCGCATGAAATAATGCTGTCCATGTTATTGTTGTTAACTAAGTTTCAGTATCGAATACTAATACAGCCTTATTCCGTTTTTTCCAGCTCTATCACTGTAAGATCTTTGTCTTCAAGTATGCTATCGAATGACGTGTGTACATACGTTGAAAAATCGAGTTAATTTCAGACGACACACGTACATCGCCGTTCGGAGTTTGGAAGGAATCAATTTCTTCTGTGCAGATTTCTTTACAATTTTGATGTCAGAAAGGACGCATTTTGAAACTCCTAGGCGCCACATCATTCTCAAGTACTTAGTAATTCCACTTTGTTTTTCTACCGACGAGGTTTCTAGCATATACATAGCGTCTAGTCAAACCTGCTTCTAGTAGAACCTAGCTATGTATTCTGAGTTTGTCAGCATAGTCTGTCTCTGTAATTCTGTGGTTAGTTTTTATAGAGTAGCTCACACACAGTCCCTCTTGGCGGATTGAAGTCTGAAGAAATAACTCGAGCAATCAGCGAGCACACAAAACCCAGCCACTTGATAATTCATTCATTCACATCCCAAGTAGTCCTCTTTTTTTTTTTGGGGCCTGGGTCTATATTCCTCGCAATACGAACATTTAATTACCCGGCGAGAATCCTGAAGCACAACGGCCAGGCACCTAAAACGAAAAAAAAATAAGTTCCAACAGTGTGTCCAGAGGACGGCCTTACTATTTAATTTCAAGTCCTGCCTTTTCGTCCCCCAACCGTAGACGATCCAGAACAATATTACACTAGGCCCCGACTTAGATCGCCCCCACCCTGTCCCAGCACTAGGCTCCGCCATCGTCTTCAAGGTTCGGCGTAGCCTCTCCCTCTCAGCAGAACCGAGTGGACTGGACTGGTTGGCAACTAGAGGGCTTTCCTGGGTGATGTAGTTGTAGTAAGAGGAAAAGTAAGGAATGACTATCGAAACACCATGCTGTCGCGTCGGTTTTGAAGTGGACGCGGACACCTGCCACGGACACAGACCCCACACCTACATTTTCGTCCCCCAACCGTAGACTCCCAACCCTAGACGATCCAGAACAATATTACACCTTCCCTACCCCCACCAAGCCCTGCACCAGCCCTCCACCTATATCTGCAAGGTCCTCGGATATTGGCGGCATCGTTGTCTTCACCTCCACACAAGCGCGCGAGAGAATCAAAGACGGCAGTATCGAGACCTGGTCAGATAGAGATACTCTGTCAAGTACTAGCCACATTGATTCATGGGTTTTTCGTATTTCTCTTCAACTCCTTGGATGCGCATTACTAGGTAATATTCTATGTCTCTGAGAAACACTATACCTCTGATGACCTAACACCCACGACGGCATAAAAAATCTATCAGCGAATGGCAATAGTACCTTGCTAATATTGTCATCTCGATCCGACAGAAAGAGGAGAAAATTTTGCTTCCCCTTGTCCGCCAAGAAAGCCACGGCATGGGCAGTCAAGTCACGTAGATTCCGAACAGGAAGCCTTTGCAGCATTGCGATGGGGGTGGTGAGTTAGAGATGAATTTTAATTTTTACTGATGTACACTGGGTTTAATGACGTCAGGGGGTCCTTGTAGGCCTTGAATTCATTCATTCATTCATTCGAACCACGTAGCAACTCACTCAAAGCTGCCTGGTTCCCTAGCGACCCCTAATACAAACAAATACAAAACCACGCCATAAGAATAAAGATTCTTCCCTGCGAACGCTACGTATCGGACCAGCCTCAGAGCCGTGTCTTCTCCATCGGGACACAATGGAGAACTACCTGGCGCTTGCCGCATGAGGATCACAGGTTCTGCAGGCAGGATGTCCTTGTTGACCACTCCATCTGGTGCTGAGGCTATGGTTAGAGCAGGTAGTTCTAGTGTACTTGACTAGGGGCAAACTGTGTTCTATTACTTAGATCTATGTCCCTTTCCGCGAACAATCAAATGTGTATCAAAACCTTAATCTCAAAAAGTTTTTCTCTGATTCCTATGAGCAACATTGTGAGTAAAACCGCCGAAGAAGCCTTAACATCGTGAACAACGGCATATTTGCTTCTCCACTTGCCCATTTATCGTATTCACTTGGAGGAGCGGTGGCGGTGGGCGCTCGTGGAGGTCTAGCCCATCTTTCTAGCTGCCACAGAGTCGCGACTGGGATTGCCGGTTTCGCAAGGTCGTAGAAGTGCGCGTTCAAGGCTGTGAACTGTTGTCCCCCAAAGATCAAATAGTGTGATGGCGTGAAAGCTAAATTCCTAGCACGCCTGGACGTGAGAAGTCCTGGATGGCACATTCCACGGGTGCAAGGTTCATCCGAAAACTGTGGCACGTAGAATGGAAAAATACCGAAGACGACGCCGGTCGAAACTGATGTGTTCCATTAGAAGAAGAGCTTCAGAATCTAGTACAAATTCGAAAAACTGAAATAAGCAAGTAACTGATCAGAATAACCGAGATACTGATGAGAAGGAAGGGTACCCTTGATGTTAAGCTGCCTTCCATATTTCAGTTAGTTGTAACTCGGGTATTTTGAGTTTTCGAAGACTTGTTTGACCACGATATCATGTGGTCACCTGAAGATGAATGAAATAGGAATCTAAATCTATCAAGTAGACTCTCTTTACTTCTTCAGGAAAAAAGCCATAACCTCCTCCTCCTCCTCCACAGCGTTCATTCAGCACTAACCTTTCCACCTTGTATTTACGACCACCCCAAACAGGTCTTGCTACGTGCACGGTCACTCGCGGTCCAGAGCCATCGCCATCTGCTGGCAGACTCGAAATCAAAACCTCAAACGTGATACTATCTCCTATCGCGTCAGTTCCGACGCCGACGTTCTTGTAGGCAAATGAGTTTGCGACGAGAGGCGGGATGAACATTGATGGTGTCACCAGCACTAGCCCCTCGTCGCTTACGGTGTACTCGCGACCGGCGATGAGGAGGGCGGTGATGGCGTCCCCAGACTGCAATGTGCCGTATAACGGGGAGAAGGGAGACACCGTCAGGACCTGGATGCCTCGGGATTAGAAGTGAACTAAGTAGTTTAAATCAAAAACGCATTGACTCTGATAGGTACTAACCTCACATCGTCTGAGTGTAATCTAGTGTTCAAAAACGCATTGCCTCTGATAGTTACTAATCTCACATCGTCTGAGTGTAATCTTTCTGCTGCACTGAGGTCACATTCATACGGATCGTGTAAGTTTCATGTACAACTCAACTCCACAGTGACACGATCCATAAGAGATGCCTCCGTAGTAGGTCCGCAAAGTCAGGCTCTTTAACGTGCGATAGGTAAACCCGATATGAGGAGTCCCCAGCCAGCCGAAACCGAGAGTGTTGACTGCGAATCCTGTGGACCTGGGATAATTGACGTGGTCGCCACTTTTTCCCAGAAGACTATCCTTGCTTGTTCCTGGATGAGCGTGGTTCATACCGTGGACGGTGGGTTAGAGAGAAGCAGCTTACGTTCTCACTGACGCAGATGGTGCAGATGTAGTACGTAGTCGTATTCAACTTCTACACTACACTTACAACATTTTTACTCTTGTGATAGATGTATTCAACACGCCTTTTTACACTTCTTTGTTCTCTTGAAAACCTCAGAGGCTTCACATCAAATTCAAGGCATAGCTTTTCAATTCTTCATTATGCAGGTATTCCAAAACCGGGTGAGTGCAAGCTTCCCTTTTCACCAAACACAAACTGGTCAGCAACCACCTGAAACAGGTATGACGGTACTGCTCCGAATAATGTGCGCTGTTGTTTAGAAGTTGGTCGCAAGGAACTCCTGTCAGCAAGGGTCATGTTGTGGCGCTTATGTCAAATGTCATGTTGTGGTCTCAGGTGATGTAATATCGACATTGTTATGTTGTCCTTGATATCCTCGGTGTAACTAATGAATATAAAACGACCAAGAAAAGCTTCTTGTTGATTCGACAGTGCTAAAGGTCTTGCCTTATCGCTTCTTTCTTTGCAGTCGTGAACGCCAAATGCGCACAAAGAAGGGCCTCTGGCGATATCGGCAACGCTAATCCTGGAGCGCCGAAGGAAGAAGAGACAACAGGCTCACTATGCTCTGGACCGCTTCCTTCCGCAGAAGAAGATGCAGATGTTCCTTTGGTTGTTACGGTACTAGGCACTTGGATACTATTCCCTTCTTCAGGCACATCATTATCGCTAGTTCTACTAAGACCAACCGTGCTAGAAGATGGCGCAGAAGCAGTTTCGGAGGACGATGGTAATTCTGAAGGAGGATTACTATTACTTGCAGACGATATCCTTGAACTAGTTCTTGTATCTTCCCTGTTCATCTGGTGATTAAGCTTATCCTCTGTAGTTGTTCTTGTTTGTTGTATCTTCACGTGGCCGCGTGGTCCTCCTTTCACATGGTCCTTCATCTCTTCAGGATCCTCAAGAAGAAGTTTGGATAGGATCTTAAACGCAACTGGCTCTGAATCCTGACGACGAAGGACAGGCGATTGCACTTTCTTAGGGTCTTTTCCACGCAGTAACAAGGCCGATTCCAGTTGTTCCTCTAGTTCTTGGGTAAGCACGCGCTCTGCATCTTCTAGTGTTGTTACCTCAGAAGTTCTTCTATTAGAGCTGTCCGTAATTCATCTTGCAAGTGCTGAAAAGTATGGGGGAGTAAGTATTCCCTTAGGATAATCCTCCATACGTTTCAAGGATGCGTCCAAAGATGTATTAGGCACAGCCTTAATTCTCCTTTTAGTGTCCTTTGTAGTAGGGTTTTCCTCAGAAGTTCTTCTCCTTTTAGTGTCCTGCTTCGTAGAGTGGTCTTCTTCCCCACGTTCTGAAGCCAGTATCGCTTTCGCGAGATCCAACAACACGGTGTCTTCATCAGAGAGAAGACGTCCTTGAGGGAGAGGGGGTTCTTGGGACTTGGCCATCTCAGCTTCTGAAGAACCCTTGGAGACATAGACGTCGGTCGTGCGAAACGGCCGAGACACAGCTTCGACAAGGCTCTAGGTTAGAAGACGCGTATTCATTTACATAAAAGCTGATGATGTCTACTTTCGAATAGGCAACCCATCACTTTTGCCGTAAATGAAATAGCGAAGCACGATCGCCCTTTGCCTCCTTATCCTTTGTCTTTCGTGGCTGCTCTCGAACTTCCTGCAAAACGGCGACAAGGTCTTTCACTGGTATGTTTTCAAATGTGGTCTTCTGCTGCTCCTTACGCGTCGTCTTCTTTGATGTAGTCGCAGTCGTGGCATGTTGTTCTACAAGAGTAGCTGCTTTTAATACTATGTCGCCGTCTCCGTGGCCTCCAACAGCAGGATGTACAACAGTCGTGGATGAAGCATCATTGATGTTGTTCATCTTCTCGTTGGTACTAGGTCCAGGGTGCTTTGGCGTCACAAGAATGTCGTCTCTGCCATGAAGGTCTTTATTTTCATCGTCCTTGTGGTCAGTGTCAAGTGCTTGATCCGCCATTCGTTGATGTCGCTCGTCACCAAAACCATGCTCAGAACGGCTACAAACCATCGACAGATGCTTCTCCATACTAGGAACAAGCATCTGATTCCTTCCATGCGGCCGATACTCACTAGCGATCATGTATTGCCGGATTAGCAAATTTGGCACCAAAAAACCCACTCCTTGCTGATGTGGCATTCCCGCATACGCGATTCCGAGTAATCGGCCATGGTGGTCGAAGGCAGGACCACCTGAATTACCTGAATTCATGGCTGCGTCTACCCAGAGATTCACCACTTCACTGCCCATGGATCGCGAAAGAGAGTTAGCAGTCGAAAGCATTAATTCTGGTAACTGGTGTCTGTCACTCATGTAAAACTTTTCTCGAAGAATTTTTACATCAGCACTTCTTCCTCTATGGTGGTTCAAACCTAAATACAAACTGAAAACGATACTCCCATTCATCATAATATAAAGTGGCTGCTCGCTATAAGGTTCACGCGCATCCACCCTAGTCACCGTGCCCTTTGTCACCGTTAACGACGTTCCTCCCAACGGAAAACCCACGAGCTGTACACTAGTGCCGATGCTTAGAGATTCATCATAGACCCAAATTTTTCGCCTAGAAGGGAGCCTAGTATATCTCGGAGACGGAGGTGATGCAATTTTGTAAGAAAGCCTATGATCATCCTAAAGACTTGTTGCATTCATCAACTTGTGACAAGTCACTTGTTGCATTCGTCAACATACAATACGAATACATAGAATTCAAACGACGTAAGTAAAAGAAGTCAGAGAAAATAAGTCCTTAACAATTGTGGCAGTCCGGTTCTCTGGATATCTTGCTCGTTGGTGACTGCTTGCGGTATCTGCTTCCAAAAAGTGTCCGAGTCGACGTGCAATAAAGCCAAATCCAGATCATGCGAGATGTCCGTGACATAGGCTGGGGAGTTAGAGGATGGAGGTATTTTTGATCATGTCTTCTAGGCGTTAGGCAGTGGCCTGGTGAACTTTTAGGCAGCCGACTCCGCCGCAGCGGCGCACCGCTAAAGCTGCCTAAACAAAGGCAAAATCTGCCTAAAGTTAAAATTTAGGCAGAAAACTCGAAGGTTTAGGCAGACCGCGAAGGGATCCTTTTGGCACAGTCTTCGTTCATATTAGAGGATGGAGGTATTTTTGATCAGGTCTTCTAGGCAATGAGACCACCCGTGGCCGTAAGTATATCACTTGCCAGTCCGTGTCGTAGACGTATGCTGGTCGCATCTGACACGCAATGGGCACAGGTCAGCACACGACGAGGGATTAGAAGATGGGAAAGAGGGAACGAAAGGAGAACGACGAGTGGAACCACTGAAATTTAATGATGGATTATGAGGTTGAGGACCAAAGAAATGAGATCGATTGATATCCTCTGCTTCAGGCTCAACAGACGAGCGAGGATTAGAGGTAGATACATGTAGTAGTAGTCCTATCAACACATAGTAGTCCTTCATACAAGGAGTAGTAGATCATACATGTGTAGTACTACTTCCATAACATTGGTGACCGCACTGCTAGTCCAGCACAGAGCTTTTTGCGTTCGAAACTGCTAGCCGCCCACGGGGCCATGTAGAAGCTCAACTCTTTCGGTGAGAAGCGGATATCCAACATTATCACTGACTATGTTAGAAAAGGAAACAAAATTGAAGATAAGGAAGAAGTTGAAGTTATCTATGATAGTGGGTAAAAAATAAATGATTTCCTAGATGTCCGCTACTTATGACAGATCAGAATTCACAAGTACTGCTTAGGCCGTGAAAGATTCTAGTGTTAGATGATGGAGTAAAATGAATCAGATGAAATAAATATCTATTCTTTCCATCTCCTGGAAAGAGTCATTACAGTACCTTGATTTGAGTGAGTTAAGATATAGCAGCTCTCTCATCATGTTCATCTTCTTCTCCAATCAATTGTTAGCCGTAATTCTAAAAAATGATGCCCAGACTTTTCCTGTCCTCCGGAGATGCCTGCATCATCCGACTCTTGCCAAGTATCCCCTTGCTGTCTTTGGTACTGGTTCTGTGCGCGTGCGTTGACCATCGCAGGTCCGCTCACTCCCATCGATGGCGCATATCCCGTCGCAGGTGTATTGAACATCGAGGGCCCGCTGGCCATTGCGGGTGGACCAACTATAGCGGGTGCTTTGGCCAATGCGGGTGTGCCACCTCTGGTACTTGACATGTCACTATCGATTTCTTAGAAGATCAAAATTTATGAAAATCATGTGGTTACTGAGACACAACACTTCATTTTCCAAAAGAAGATCTTCTACTGTTCTAGACTATATGCAATATTGAAATTATTTCCTTTTTAGAAGCATCAGCCTTAAGTAGATGTGTCAAAACTTCTTGTGTCATCGAAGCCCGATTCTCCAGATCCAGTGGGTAGGGGTAATGATTCTCCAGAGTCAGGCGAACTTGCTGCTGACCGACCTGCTCCTCCAGCAGTCGATGACTCTACTGCTCCAACCGCAGCAGGTGGCTGCTCTGTTTCCCCTGCTGATGGCTGCTCCGGTCCGCCTTGTGCAGGCTGCTCAGCGACCGCCTCCTCTGATGACCGTTCCGCGACCGCCTCCTCTGATGTCCCATCTCCTCCCGACTCAGATGACCGTTTTGCTGCCTCTGCGTCGCTTGGACCACCAGGCTTCGCGTCGGAGTTGGCGTTGGTGCTGCTGTCACCATGCTTCGCGCTGCTGTCAGTAGACATACTGCTCGTTGTAGCCGCTTCGTTTTCATCCGTCTTTTCTTGTATTTCCGCTTGAGTGGGAATACTCGTTGTAGCCGCATGAATACTATCATCTGTCGTAGTATCAGTATCATCTTTCTCATCATCTACTGATTGTTCTTTAGGAATGGCCTTAGCTGAGACACCACCCTGGTTCTGTTCAGCGTCTCCCCCGCTGCCTATCGTTCCAGCGGCCCCTCTTCCTCCGTCTGCGTTTTGGACATCACTACTTTTACCTCCAATAGAAGCTGCGTGGTCTACTCCCATCTTCCAATCTTGATTTTCCTCCTCCTGTCCTCCGACTACATTATCCCCGCCTGCTGCTGCCGCAACCTTGTCTGATTCTTTAGGAATGGGAGCAAGAGACTCCTCGTCTACTGATTCTTTAGGAATGGCCTCAAATGTGGCTCCTTCCATCTCATCTTGTTCTTCGCCATCGTCGTGGACTGGATTATCAAGGTAATAAGCATCTTCAAACGCGCAGCCAAAGGATTCCCCGGTGATTAGAAGAGGAAGAAGAAGAAGAAGAAGAACGAGAAGAAGAAAAATCATCATCATAAGTGAGGCGAGGTTGGGTAAGGCTAGAATAGGTCAGGCGAGGTTAGGTTAGGTCAGGTAGCGGATCCTTCATCATCATCATGATCATGAACTTCGCCATTGCGTCTTAAGGAGCTTTAGTACAGTCTACCGAGTACAGTCTGCCGGTAAGAATATGCCTTGTACCAAGTACCAACATTTAAGAACAAGCTTCATGCTCACTAAAAGGATCAAAATCAAGTGGCATAAGGAACTCCTTTCCCGGAGTCTCGCTGCAGTGAATTGCTCATTGCATTTCTCTTTTTAGAGGTACCGCGCTTCCTCTTTGAGAGTCTTCCTCTTTCCTCTTTGAGAGTCATGATATCCTTTGGGCGGAAATAGAGCCAAGCTGTCGTAGTGATTTCTCTTTTTACAACGACTGCGTCATCCAGCAACAGAACCAACGATGGATGAGGGTGTTTGAGGATGCGGCATAATCAAACAAAAATAAGGGTGTTTGAGGACTAGCCTTAATCTTTTCTCCGTATTCTGTCGTTCAATGCCTTCAGCTGCCGAGGACTAATTTCGAACGCTTCTTCTTCCTCAATTTAAAGGCGGGAAGTCATTGCTCACTGATGCTGAACGGAAGAGACCACCTTCAAAGCTCTCCCCTTTTCCCTTCATTTATTTCCCCTGTTGGTTCTCTCAAGAAGGAGTCTCCTCTTCGATCTCAGTGACCCTAATCTAAATGGTGACCAATAAAAGTCCACCCTTAATTAATATCCCGCTGAAGCTTGTTCTGGCAGATTTTGCCCCACTTCTTTATTTAGAGTGAGGCCCCTACGGAAAAACTGCAATACATCCCGCAGGACTGAACATCCCGAGCTCCTTTATTTTCTACTGGGAAAAAAGCCAAAAAGGATGTTTTAGATTTAGTAGTGGGGAGTGCAGTTTCTTTTCTTTTCTACTAGTGATCGGATCAAGCTTTTGATGTTTCTTGTTTTTAGCTCTCCTCTTATTTTTATTTTTCTAGTTGAACACATATTACTTATTTTTCAGTGCTTTTTCAGTGTTACTAAGCCAAGGAGGATGGCTTACCTTAGTACAGGGGAAGGAGGAAACGACCCTTAATCCATGCTCTCCTCGTCTGCCCCACTATCGGAAAAAGTATCTTCTCGCGTGACCACTGCGTTGGAAGGGATCGGCCCACGCAGAGATCGGGAAGGACAGAGATCGTAAGAGCATTCGTTAGGGCCCCGAGAATAACAGGTCAAGATTAGCGCTAAAAATGCTGGGATAGAAATGGGACAGTATAGGATGATATAGGATGGTACAAGATGGTATAGGATGATATAAGTCTTCCTTGAGATAGGATGGGATAGGAATTGGCTCGCCTACGGAGAGGCGAGCATGATCCTTGGGTCCTCTTCCTCTTTGAGGGTAATAGTAGTTGTATCCTTGGAACAAGGTGCTTCTTTTTCAGCTATAGAACGAAAGCCACTTGGATGCTCCTCTTTCAGCTATAGAAATAGAGTAGCCATGAAAGATCATGGTGTTGTACTGAAGTACATGCTTTGTTTGCGGTAATGCCTTAAGACAAACTGTGTCAGCGTCGGTTGGATGGAGGTCTCCCACGTCATCTGCTCATATGTCTCCCGAGTCACCATGCTTAGAGCCAGGCGTGGCTTGAATGTACTCGTTGAGAACCACGTTCCTCGTTGTAGTATTCACTTTCACACTTCTACTCAATGAATGTCATCTATACTCTCCTCTACTAGAAGTATCCTGCCTGCTAAGGTTCCTCTACAACTAGGAGTGAGTGTAAGAATAATTCTAAAAAATAATATAAGTTCCCAACCACGACGACTAGCAATTATCCTCATTGTACAGTATAGGTGCTAGAAGTGACTTTACTCAGGTCACCCAACATGAGTCAAGTGCAAAGATCTCTTTTGTCCGTAACTTCTGCCATTTTGCATTCACCAGTTCTGGCCAACCCGCCTGTGCAAAAATCCGAAGGAGGCCAGCGTTAAACCTTAACGCTAATTTTTCACTAGAGTCCTTGACTGAGTGGTTAAAGCTATTGCATCAGCATCCTTGGGAGCATTCTTGGCGCCTTTTCCCATCAGAAAAAGAGCCAAGGATGATGGCGAGGATGCCATTTAGCGGTAGCCATAAAGTGGGATGCCGTGCGTCCCCTTAGCTTCCTTCCCCTTCAAGAAATCAAAGGAGGGGACTCCACTCAGCATACTTCGTTCACATAGGACATCAGATAGTATGGGTGGAGCCAAGCTAACTAGGACATCAGATAGTCATAAACTACTATGCTTAAGAACCAGAGAGTTGACATTAAGCTCGCATCCGCGTCCCCTGTGCGAGCGCGTGGATTACAACTTAGAAGATTATAGGAGATTAGTCCCGTGGTCGTCGCTTCGCCCAAACCAAAGCCCTAAATCCTGAGGAACCTACAAAAAAATCAAAATTCCGGAATTGTACTAGTATCTATTGTGCGTGAGTGGAAATGATAAAAAAGAACTATTTCATGAATTGCACTACTTCTCTACGGATGACAAAACAGATTCTACTGTAGTGAATTGTCGTACTAGTAGCATCAGAACAGGGTGGAGCTTCTCCTTCTAGTTCTCCAAAAAGAGCAAGCATTTCATCTTCGACCATAAAGTAGCACTAAACTTGTTTCTGTCGAGCGCAACTCCATGCTTAATATTGGATCCCTTTTGGATCACCATGCTTCGCAGCGCTGCTCGAAGTCTACTATAGTCACAGCCACGTTAGAGCTACCGCGCTAGCCTCCCTGGGTGCATCCTTGGCCCTCTTTTTCAGTAGAAAAAGAAGATCCAAGGATCATGATGGTAAGGAAATGCTTGAGCGGCAGCCTTAACTACGTAGGGAAATATACGTTCCCAGGTTCGGTTCGTAGACTGTTAGAGAATGGCAAGATAATTGAAATATACGTTCCCAGGTTCGGTTCGTAGACTGTTAGAGAATTCAGAATTGAATCAAGCAGCCTTAAGAGAAGAGGAAAGGCCTCGTGAAAGAAGATGGGCTCTTGTCGTATCCCCCAGTTATAAAAAAGGGTGTTTTTTCCAGCTAGCCAGGAGACCATCGAGGCGGGCCCCCGTCCTCTTAAAATACATTTACACAGGAGTTTCTGTATAAGGGATCCAAATCGATGGTGTGTAAGATGGAAAGGAAAAAACATCATCCATACCAGAGAAAAAGGCAATGCCTATCGCCGAGACATTTAACGAAGGCCCAGGCTTAGAAGATTTTGATGTTCCTCGAAAAGGAGAAGATGCATGTTGATTGACGTTCTCCCACATCCAGTGGATGTCCTTCTGAAACGCAAGAAACGCTATCCTGACAGGAAAATGTTTCTGAAAATCAAAATTTGTTATGCTTAAATCATGAAAATAGGGTGACGTTTATTGTCAGGCCTGTTTTACTATGAGATTAAGTATAAAAGGGTGGTGACATTTAATATTGTCACGCGGCTAGAAGCCTTAACATGCAAGATAGAGGGGTCATCAAATAAAAAAAGGGTGACACTTCATATTGTCATGCTGGAAGCCCTAACATGCAAGAAGGCCATCACCAGCGAGCATGGTCTTTGTTTCTTTACTAAGCCCGCACACCTCCAGTGGAAGAGTACCGGAGAACCCCGGAGCTCTGTTCAGTATGTACTTGTTTGCCGTTTTTCTTAGATCATTTTTAGGTCGTGGATCCTAGGTTAGGACCATCCTTGAGGGGCATGACAATGGGTGGATAGAATCAGGATAGGATCATCTTGGAGCTACATATTATAGGATACAACAACATAAGTAGGTGGATGGTACAGGTCTAATATAGGGGTATAGAATAGAACACGCATAGAAAGATCAGGATTATACATAGGAAGGACCATATAATATTTTTTTTAGGACCATACATAGAATATTAGGTTCTTCAACTAGGACTTCAAGAACATAATTTTTCATCCAGTTGGCAGAGAGCAAAAATGTGCTGACGAGTGACGAGGAAGAATCGGCCACGCGTATCCACGAACTCGAGAGCGAGACTACCACGGCCAGGAGGCTTTCGCTTAAGTAAATTTTTCTCAACTAGTTCACATAATTAGAGCTCACAACTTCAGGAGTGCGTTCCCTCATTTCTGCGCACCTCTTCACGATCATCATCACCATACGTCTTTAGTGGTCATTCTCTACCACTCGCAAGACAAGATAGTAGTCCATTTCTTCCGAAGTCTATTCCTTGCTTCAGACATTCAAGAAGGGAACAGCGAAAAAAAGAACACCACTTCTAGTGGTCGTCGCTATATATATAACCATCACTGATTCTCAACATATTGCTTAATATCCTTTTCTTAAACAATTTCCTCAATATACTTATGAAGTGGCCTACTCCTTGCTTAAGACATCGAAGCAGAAGACAACATCAGAGAAAAATGACCCTCAGAAACAAGCTTTGAACTACGGAGATAACAGTGCCGGGGCATGTACATTCTCCGCTACATCACCGCGCGACGAGGGTGATGGCGATGGTGATGACGATGATGACGGCAACTCTAACTATCTAAAAAGCTAGAACAGTTTTGCCTTAACTTGCCCCTGCAGTCGGCTTGTCTGCCGCCTGCAATATTTTCGCATAATCGGCGTCACTCATTTCGGAAATCGGCGCCTTGCTAAGCACTTCCAACAGCTGTGGAGCCATCCTCACAATCCTGGTAGCGGTTGGTATGGCCTAAGTTGTGCTAAGATTTCAATGGCCTTAATTCTACTTGTTTATAAGTATTACACGAGTCTAAACGGCCTTTTTGTATTTTCATAGCGTATCTTCTCCAGGAATAGAGCCCTAACTTACTACAAAAATGAAAAGTTCAACAAATAAGGGAGCACATGCAGAATTTTAGGGCGTAACGGCGTAGGCATAAAAACGCCGCACCCTGCTCCACCATTTTTTGGTCTGTCTATTTCTAAACCAGGAGCGGCCAACGCTGACGCTAGGTAGAAAGAAACGTCACGAAAACGCCACGACAAGGATAAAGAAACAGCGCGCCAAATCTTGACGCCCACATGCGCAGTCTTGCTTCCTTGGTATGTCTATTCCTATCCTGAGGCAGAAAAGTCCCCTAAATTAATAGCGTCTGCGCCCATCGTTCTGCGGGGGGTTTTCACGTGGAGCTCGTGAAAATGTTCAAAGTGAGTCCCAAAGCCTGCACAAATCACCGTCACCCACATACTTTGACTCCTAATAAACACGGCGCAGCGTTCACACCTCTCCCAGCCGCGCGCCTTCGGGCGGCTTCGCTCACCGACCGAGGGCAGCAAGATGACAGACCGCGGCGCTGCTCGTTGTTCGTGGGTCTGGCTCTTGTGCTTGTCGTGTCTGTCTTGGCGTGGGTCTGCGGCGTGCGGGAGGGGCGGCAAAAGACAAAGCGCCCGCGGATGTGTCCGCCGGCGGTCTGTCACCCGGTGTCTGCGTCCTTTGGTTTTTTCTTCGGTGTTCCGCGCCATCTCCTTAGGTCAGCTGCCCCGTTGGTTCAGTTTATTTACCCTCAGCCCCGCGCGCTCCGG